GAGAGGTAGGCAAAATTTGCTTTTTATTATTTTTTATGATAAGCGATAGAATATTATTAAGGGAGTTTCACTAAAACACCCAAAATGGGGGTTGAAATTATAAAAAAACCCAACACCCAAAACACTTTATAAACACACCCAAAACCCATCATTACACACACTCAAAACCCATTTATAAACACACCCAAAAAATATACAATTGTTGATTTTGAGGTTGATTTTGGGTGTGTTTCTATGTTTAAATAGTGCTTGGGTTTTTTTATAAATACATGTCTAGGATTGGGTTTATTTATAAATTTGTATATTATTAATGTGAAAAAGCTAATACAATAAGTCTGAACTTGTATCAAGGGCAAAGGAAATTTCTTAATCATGAATTACAATCCTCATACAGTACATCATAAATTAAATCAGGAGGTTCCTCGAACCAGTACAAAGAAACCCCGACATTTGCTTTAATATGCAAGAGATAGGTGAATAACCAGTTTGGCCTAGTGACATTAGCTTTTACTTCTTTGAAGTTAATGAGATTTTGATACGTAGTTTATTTTTGCAAATGACATCTATAATTTCGTAATTCATGACCGTAACTAGTTATGAAGAGTACTAGTTTAAACACAACATGGCCTAGTTTGGCCACCCTTCAACTATTTTGAGTCGAGGGGTGAGAAAACTTCAATTTTAAATTCTTAGACAATTTTTAGAGACCACAGTACCCAAGAAAACTTCAACTATTTTGAGTCGAGGTGAGAAAATAGTTGAAGGGTGACTGAAAAGAGTCATCTGTGAAAATCACCCAAGAATTATGGTTAACCAAGCTTATAATATTGTCAATGGCCTCTTTAGCCAAGTTAATTAGCTGATGAGGAGTTAGGAATATATCAATGTGACCATTAAAAAATAAAGGGAGAGAGAGAGAGAGAGAGAATTCACCTGGTGTTTGATATGATCTCAGAAAACACCAAAAAGATAAAACAAACAATAATTGAATGAAAACCAACCTACCAAAAAGGAGAGACAAAGAGATAAAGGCAACGTGGTCCAAAGCATCAATCACCATCAGAATGCGTGTCTTGACCTTCGTGATGAGGAATTATGATAAGAACATTCATCAAACCTAGCTGTACCTGCACCCTCACATGTGAAATCTCATGTCATGTATAATTATTTATCATTTAAATCTATGCATATGATATGCATGGTTTCCATTTCAACAACCAACTGCTAGAAAAAGATATAGCAGCAGCCCCACAATTGATACAATTGTTTTAATTAGTTGCGCCATGTGTTTCAGGTGGCACACTGTTAAAATAGCAACATCGATATTATTTTCAACTTAATCATTTACAAAGCCAATAGTTATAGGTTTTTATCACAAAAGGTCTCGATGTTATTACGAGTGTAACCACTTATTACTCTAAACTCTAATATTTACCCGCATGATCCACACAGCTGCTGAAAAAAGTGAGATCACAGAGGGCAATGTCTTTGCTTTTTTAATCTTAATTAACACATCTTTTGGGCCATGCCATGATTTGTAGCTTTTCCCTTCATGATTTGTAGAGAGCAATGTTCTTGATTTGATAGCTGAAAGATGGTTTTATTTGGATATATATGTTGAATACTTTTCTAATCAACTTCTTGTGTTATATATGATTCTGATATACAACTGGAATAGCTCGAAAGCCAGCCAACAACTTCTTGTGTTGAAAGATGAGATGACTGACTTCAAATTATTTGATTAGATTTGTTCAATATTTTACAACCACATGTTCTTTCCATGAAGATGTGTGGAACATTATATGTTATCTGTCTATAGATTCTACAGAGGATAGAATCCACATATATTCAATAATCTTACATGATTGCGAATCTTTTTAAGAAATATATGTAGGACATAATTGTTTACAACCTTGTGTTTTTAAGTGTGGCAACCAAAATTCGTTTTGATGTACATAATAATATTGAGATCTCAAGGACATTTTCTTTGTGAGTTTTTTTATCGCTTGGTTTTTTCAAGCTTTATTTCTTTCTTATTATCCTAAGTTTGCAATTTTAGTTGGGATGTCTATGCCAGAGTTTCTTCGATCATGCGTGATCGTTAGTTGAGGTGCACTAATTTTAATGTTAGACCACTCCGCTATTGTAATTGCCTTTGTGGTTAGTTTGTATTGGCTTTTTGTGACTAGTGTTTTTTTTACTAATTATTATAGAATTCATTTTTCTAAAAAAACCAAAAAAAAAAAAAAAAAAAAAAAAAAAAAACAAGGGGGAGTGGAGGGTTTCTCACATACTTACTACTAATGTGCTATAGCCTATAAAGATTCGAATATGATACCATTAATCTGTAATTAGGTTAGATCCCGTTGACATAAGAAAAGAAAAAAATTAAGAATTCTGGTACACTTCCTCACATATTCACATCACATGCATCCGTTGGCCAGAAAGTCTTAATTACATATTTAATAAATAAATTCATGGAAAACACGATAAGCTGTTGAAATATTTATTTATTTATTTTTCGCATTGAGGATCTCATCTCACGAGGTGCATATCTTAGCTAGATGGATTTGCCTTCTGTAAAAGGCAGTACGTGTCATGTGTGAAAGAGGTAGAGAGGAGAGTTTTGAGTTGTTGACAATAAATTATATGCTTCAACCAATATATTATTGAACTTGTAGACTCACATTTATCACACTTTCTTTCTTTCTATACTCTTTTAATACAAAATTATTTGTAAGGCGAGCTAAAATTCCTTGGCAACTCACAGCCAATTATTTTTTAAAATTTGTGATAGTTGTACGTATCTAGTGTTTACCTTGTGAATACGTATCTACTATGAAGAAGTGGCATGTCGAAAATGTTCTTGTTACCCAAACTCAAAAAGAATGTTGAAGAAACTTTTCGATTTCCAAAAAAATGAAAATGTCTTACTAATCTTCTTTTGATGATTTTAAAAAAAAAATACCATGATCCAAATGGTAGGATTAATTCCCGCTTAGGGTTCAATTTGTCCCTAGCCATAAAGTGTTTTCAACGAGTTTCGAACCCTTACTATTGAGGCACCAGGTAGCTTGCTAATTGAATGGGGCAGTTTGCCAACCATACCACATCTTGTGGCTTCTTTTGATGATTTTGCAAAACGAAAAAAACTCTATTTTTTGTTACAATGGAGATAAAATAAAAGGGAAAATAAAAAATCCTTTTGATAATGTGCTGCACCAATCTTTTCTTTGATTATGATATGTGAAACGAAATAGATTAATTTAGTTTAGTATTACCTTCTTTTTGACGTGGAATGAGATCTCAAGTTTGAATCTCCCCTTAATTATATATCTAACCTGTTTGATTAAGAGCAACTCCACCCATATTGCCCTTAGCCATGGCAAGGGGGGAGCTAGGGCAGCCACTATTCACGTGAATAGTGGTTGCCCTTGCAAAATCAAAATTTTGTGTTTCCACCCATTGCCCTAGCTAAGGGCAGTTACTATTCATTTTTTTGTTTTATTCACAATTTTTTTTACCTCAATAATTAATTTGGATAATATTTTCGGATAAGATTTACGGGTTCCTACGTGTCAACACTATTCATAATCGGATAAAATTTCGGGATAAGATTTTTGGGTTCAAATTTCGGATGAATTTCAAAATTCAAAATTCAAACTTAACAAAATATTGACAATGCAATAAATATTAACAACATATATATATTAGGACATTAAACTTAATGATTACGAAAATTACAAAATACTTACTTCGTTAGTACGATTTTCCCCACTTCTATACAAATTCATCGCTTTTGCCAAGGCATCTCTCCATTTTGCCATCTCTTTGTTGAGAAGTTTCCACCTACTCGACAATGCCATTTCCGTACGAGTGGAGTCCGGAATTTTTTCGCAAAATTCGGCATGAATTTTTTTCCACATATGGAAAAATTTCATCTCATTGCCTGACAAGGGACAATGACAAACTCGGAGCCAAACCTCACACAAAGAAACATCTTCCATGGTGCTCCACGCCCCTCCGGTTTCAATAGAAGAAGCCATAAAAATAATAACTAAAATTACAAGGTGAAAGAGATGAAAATGTTGAGTGAAGAGTGAAGAAAATGTTGAGTAAAGAGTGAAAAATATGTTGAGTAATTGTAGAAGTAGAATAAAATGTATGAGAATTGGTGTTGAAAGTGAAGGGTATTTATAGGTATTTATAGGAAAAAAAATCAGAATTTTTTAGGATTTTTTAGTATTTTTTTAAAAAAAATTTCGATTTTTTTTCATAATTTTATTGTCCAAAAATCGCCAGCCGTTGGATTAAAATTTGGAATCAAATCGGAGCGCTGGGGGACTGCCACGTGGCTTCCACCCGTTGTGGCTGGCGTCGCGCTGACGTCAGCGCACGCGGGTTCAAATTTTTTTAACGTTGGCGCGTGCATTGCACGCGCCAACGGTAAAAAAAAATTGAAAACCGCGTGACGACGTCAGCGTGACGTCGTCGTGACGTCACCCCCCCGCGTTTTGGACCTGGGGCCAAAGTTGCCTTCGGGCCAGCCCGGGTAGGTGGGTCCCACACCCCCCCCGGGCCTGGGCTCATGCGCTGGAACAAGATTTTTGTTTTTTTTCCCCCCTCCCCTCGGGCTGGGCTGCATGGCTGGAACTGCTCTAAAGGGGCATTCATCAAAACTTTTGTGGTGATAAAACTACAAATTGTAGAAAGTTCTGGGAGTTTATAGTAAATACACCATAATGTGTGGAGAAGGATATGCAAGAAAACGCTAAATTATAATGACACATTTACTTTGGTCATTTATAAAAATACGACATTGAACTCCTCTTCTGTTTCATTATGATTATTTATAAACATAAAACAAAGTTACGAAATTACCCTTATCTCAAAATGACAAAATAACCTTTCGAGCTCATATATATGCAGCAGCATGGCGGAGAAGATCTCTACACGTTGCCTGACTTCTCATCAACAGAAAAATCGACACAGAGAAAAGAATGGCTCTCACTGATGAGTTCCAAGCTCTCAACAAGGCTTTCTCAGGTTCTATTTAAAAAAAATGCTCTCCTTTTTATTTTATTTTTCATTTCAATTTCTTTTTATTTTATCCACCCATTTTATTTAATTTGAAGCAGGAGTTGGAATTGATGAAAATTCATTAATATCAATACTGGGAAAATGGCATCCTGAGGAGAGGAAATCCTTCAGGAAAGGAACTCCCCATTTTTTCAAGCAAGATGAACACCACTTTGAGCGCTGGGATGACCTCCATGTCAAACATCTCAAGCATGAATTCATGCGTTTAAAAAAAAAGTAAAAAAAAGTGTATGCTTCATTTAAAAAAAAAAAAATTTTTTTTTTTTTTTTTTTTTTTTTTTTTTTTTTTTTCTTTATTTCCTTACTCCCCACCTCCCATTTTAATTTCTTTTCTTTTCTTTTTTTTTTTTTTTTTTTTTTTTTTACTTAATTTTCTTTTTATTCTCTTACTTAATCTTCACTATAATTACTCATACAATGTATCTCATAAATGTTAACATACACGTATAATGGTAATTTTATTTGTTACCAAACTGGCGGGTATACTATCTTGTCATACATGAATCAAAGATCATAACTTAGGTAAATTCATGTCGGATTGTGTGGTTATGATTGATAGTTTGACAATTTGACTTGCCGGACAATTTACAATCTAATAAGATAACATGTATGTTTGGTGTTGACTCACAATCCGATAACACTTGACTTGCCGGACTATACATAGTCTAATAAGAGAACATTGATCTTCGAATTTGTATATGTATACATGATCATTGAATAGAGAGTGATGAGGCCCTTTATGATTTCTGTCAGAATGCTGTGGTGCTATGGACTATGCATTCATGGGAAAGGGATGCTCGTTTGGTGAAGGAGGCCTTGAAGAAAGGCCCACAAACATACAGTGTACTTGTGGAGATTGCATGTACTAGATCGGCCGAGGAGCTATTAGGAGCTAGGAAGGCCTACCATTCCCTCTTTGATCACTCCATTGAGGAAGACGTTGCCTACCACATTGATGGCCCTGAAGGCAAGGTAAATCGAATCTTCCCACATTGAATTTTGGCATAATTATTGTTTCTTTCTCTTTTTTGATGGATAATAGTTCCTCTTTGCTAGTTGTGATTTGCGAAGGTCCAAGTCAAAATTACACAAATATTGGAGATGTATATTGTTTTGTTTTTCCAATTTGACACCATCCTCTTCAACTGTTGTAATTTAGATATACAGTTCAACTATTTCTATCATATTTACTTATCACATCTTTTACGGAGACGAGAGTTCAAAAATTTACCAAATACGCAGTGCAGTAGTGTAATGAATATGTGACATGTTATTTTTCATCTCATCAGTTTCAAAAAGTGTCTTTAATCTTTTGAAGTGTAATAAATGGCATGAAAATGTGAAAGTATTTAACTGGTTTTTTTTTTGTTTTTTTTGTTCTTCCTGTTGGCATTTGCTTTGTACAGCTCTTGGTTGCGCTTGTGAGTGCCTATAGGTATGAAGGACCAAAGGTTAAAGATGACACTGCAAAATCCGAGGCCAAAACACTTGCTCATGCCATTAAGAATGCGGATAAGAGGAATCCCATTGAAGATGATGAGGTCATTAGGATACTATCAACAAGGAGCAAGCCCCATCTCAAGGAAATATATAAACACTACCAGGAGATTTCTGGCCACAACATCGATGAGGTATGCATATGAGATACAAAAAGAAAGAGGAATTTCCCAACTTTTCCTCCCAGTTTTCTTCGCTAACTTAGATGGCAAGAAAAAATAACAACTTTGCATACTCCAATGTGATAATGTCACTTAGGTCGGAGAAAAAAGAGAGTAATAATGCTAGAGAGACTACATTTTTGTACTATGTTTGAATAACAAATGATGTGGCAAGTAACACGGCATGTAAAACTCAATTGCTGCATCATGTGGTACTCAAATGTGGTCTCCCTGACATTTTCCGAGGGAAAAAAAGGTTGGATTACTGTCCAGAAATTTGAAACCAGAACTCCAAGTCATATTATTGAGCTTATAGAAATATATAATCTTTCTTTTTGTTTAGGATCTTGATGATGCTTTGAGGTTAAAAGAGACAGTGCAATGCCTATGTACTCCTCACGCATATTTCAGCCAGGTAAGGCAGAGTCACATAGATATTTTCTGTTTCGCATGCAGCCTAACATTATGCATGACATTTTCAAATTCTTGTGTCTCATCAGGTCTTGGAAGTTTCATTGAGAAATGGTGTGGATAAGAACATCAAAAAGGGATTGACTAGGGTAATCGTCACCCGAGCCGACGCAGACATGAAGGAGATCAAAGAGGAATACCAGAACCTATATGGAGTTTCTTTAACTGAGAAAATTGAAGCGACAGCTAATGGGAATTATAAGGATTTCTTACTCACTTTGGCTGCAAGAGGAGGCTAAAAAGGCGGGAGTCAAAGTTTGGGGCTTGTTGGGATTATTTGAAGGGTTTCTGTGTTGCCCAATTCGATTGTTGCTGTCTTTCATGGTTGCTTTCTTGCTAGAGCTGGTGTTGTTCTGTATGAGTATTGTGTTACCATTAAGAAAAACTGAAATAAAATCAATCAATGAGCCATTTGAGCATTTAAATAAGCTGATTTTTTATGTTTAACATTTTGTTTGTGGCATAAAAATGTTACATCTGGTCTCTAGTGTACAAAATGTTGTGGTCTGGACAAGTATATAGGCGTGCATATAACAAGTCTTGTCCAGTGAAATAATTAGGTAATTGATTGGATAAACATCTCTTAAGTTCACATTCAAAATTTTCATGTTTTTCACCTAATTTCCATAGTTTTTCTTGACTTTTTACGGTTAAAATTTTCACCGATATTCCCATCAAGATTTCCGTGTTTTGAAACCCCAATAGATATTTCCCAACCAATTTTTTAGCAAATCCCAAATGACCTATAAAAGAAAGAAAAGTAAGAATGGAAAAACACATACAAGGAATACGAGGAAGGAGGAGGTGAAGAATTGCAGAAGTCGTGTTTGATGTAGTGTCGCAGAAACAGAAGTAAGTTGTCTATGGGACTGAAGCAAGGCTGAAGAGAGAGAAGCAAAGGGGCAGATAGAGAAATCCAATGGTAATTGGTTTAAAGAAAAAAAGACAAAGCTGGATATGTCTGCAATTTCTGCTGCCATGTCTATCTAATCTTAGTAATAAAGGAAACCTGAAATGTTTTTTTTCCTGAGTGAAGAGAACCAGGGGCGGTCTTGAGGGTGTGCAAGTAGTGTCACGCATAGAGGCCCGATTAAATGGCACTAGGGAGCATTGAACCCATGACCAATCAAACAACTTTACCAGACAATACCACTAGACTAAGTATATCTGTCTTCATGAATAGTTGTTCATTACTTTTATTGGTTTATGGCATCAATTCACGATACTTTTTTTTATATAGTATTTTCGTGTTAGATGATGTGAGGGTCCCAATTTAAGTTTCGCACAAGGTGCTCAAATTCTCAAAGCCGGCCCTAGAAGAGAAGTCCATACAACAAGAGATTTTAAAATTTTATTCCTTTTTCATTTTTCTTTCTCCATTGCTATCAAATTATCAATCCAAACACATTGCAAGACTAGCTATAAATGTAACTTCTGCTTAATTCATCCATCAAATTTGAAAGTCTGACAGACAACTCTTTATAAAAACTCAAACTCCAACAAACATAGACGAAGACATATAGCCCATCCAACATAGTAACTTAAGACACAAACATAAGAAAACAAAGACTGCCATCAAAGTCCAACATGAAACACAACCAACTGGATTATTATACTAATAACTTGCTCAGAGAAGGGTTTCAATCTTCCTGCCCTAACAGGGTAACGAGGAAGGCCTTGTAATCTCCTGATGTTTCTTTGGCCACAGCATGCTCAAGATGAACACTGTTCTTCTTGTAGTAGAGCTCCTTAATGTCCTTCAAGTCCCTCTCTGCCCTCGTAACGATCACACGAGTGAGAGCATCCTCATCTGTCCCAGCCCTTTTGATTGCTTGGCGAAGTACCTTTACACACCAAATCACAGGGACTATTTGAGTCAGAAAGGGAGTTGTTGCTGGAAGAAAAGAAAAAAAGAGAATTGAGATCACATCCAGCTTTAATTTTTATTTTTATCACCTTTTCAAAGTACTTCTTTGGGTCATTGAGGCATCGAATGACGACGTGAAGTGCCTTCTGGAAATCATCAGCACCATCATCCAACAAATTCTAAGAGACAAAAGAACGAACATTAAGTCATAACACCACTCACTGTTCAATGAGGCATGTTTGGAATTGTTTCTCTGAAAGGGCTAAAAATGCCTTCTAACAACCAAGATGCACTTTTGATATGGATCCTAAAAGCACTCACTTGTAAATGTTTTTTTTCCATAAAGCACTTAGATTTTTAATAAAAATTTCAACGTACTTATAACAGAAGTGCTTACCTTGCTGATGGAAATGCCATGGTCATCTCTGTAGCGGTTGAAGGTTGCCATGAGCTGTGTCTTGCTCCTTGTGCTGAGGATCCTAATAACTTCCTCATGATTGAAAGCCTTGTCTTTGATGGCATCATGAAGAATATCAGCTTCCGATTTTGCCATTTTCGCATTGATCTCACCACCATCATACCGATAAGTAGTCACCAAAGCAACCAGAAGCTGTACATTGGCCATAAACCACATATCAACAACACCATTAGCAATTTTTCAAGTCTAACAATTCTCAAAGTTGGCCTTAGTTCTCCAATTTGGGATGTTATATGTTCTCCACCGGTGAAGTCGATTCTCATGTTATATTGACTCACAGTTTCACAACATAACATGTCAAGATAAACGAATGGCATCTGTAAATAATATACCTTGCGGATATCACCGGTGGTATGTGCAGCTAAGTCTTCCTCCAAGGAGTGCTTGTAGCGAAGTTGGTAAGCCCTTCTTACTGCCAGGAGCTCTTCAGGAGATAGAGTGCTTGAAATTTCAACGATGACATTGTAGTCAGTCTCAGGTTTCTTGATTGCCACATGAGCCAAGACTGCATAGCGATCTGTAGGATCCAATATCCAACGGTAAACCGCTTTCTATACATGCATCCCCAAATGAAATTATTTTGTTAGTATCACATAAAAAAGCTATAAACCAGAAATACACGGTTAATCAAAAAAAAAAAAAAAAAAAAAAAAAAAATAGAGATAAAAAAAAAAAATATGTTGAAGAGGCTATTGGAGATGCTCTTAATATATATTAAAATATGCGCCCACTTTCTTGTAACAAAAAATCGACATATCGATTAGAGCCAGATCCTAACTTAACCAATAAGTTCCATTAATTTATTGTTATTAGATAAATTGTTCAAGATTATTTTTAAACAAAAAAAAGTACTTGAAATTAATAATTTATTGACGGCATATTGATTTGTTCAATTGCTCTTTTAGGTGAGAATATTCTTTTTTCCACCCCGTTTTCAATATCTTTGTCGGAAAAGGGCAAAAGCTTTCGGAGATTTCTATGTTTTGTGATACACAACAACAAAAGGCAGAACAATTATATATATTTATCATGAATTTATTATAAATAAATATTTAATGACAGATAAAAAAATAAACAACAATATTATAAGTAGGGTGATGAAATTTTATGAGAAAACCTCAAAATCCCCGGAGAGCTCCGATTCAAGGCGCTTGATAAGATCTTCACGATAAAGCTCCTCATAAGCAAGCCTGATTTCATATCTTTGAGCTGCATTTCTATGAGCCAGTATAGAGATTACAGCCTTCTCATCAGTCCCCCATCCTACCAAAAAAGGAAAAAAAAATAGAACATAAAATCAGCTGCATGTACATGAAAGAAAAAAAAATTTGAATGGTGAAGAAATAATTAAACCTTTCACAGATCTTCTAAGAACCTCAGCATCTTCAGTGGGGGAGAAGTTTTCAGAGGCAATAAGGGTAGCCATTGATGATTGTTGAAGATAATATCTATGGTGCTATGTGCTACTGCAATGCCTAATATTTATAGCAGAGTTTTTACCCATTATGCAAACACAGCTCAGATTGGGGTGTGTGTGTGTGTGTGTGCGCGCGAATATATTATGTGTGAGATGGTGATTAGGTGTGTTGGATATGACTTTTTCTGGATTCAGAAGACATTCAATTTACTTTCCTTTTTATTTTTCTTCCATTTTTGCTAATTGAGAAAAATAAAAAGAAAAAGAAAAGTTAGAGAGAGTACCTTTGCAGGCCTTGTGAAGAGCTTCTGCGTCCTCGTTAGGAGAGAAGTGGCCTGGAGCAATGAGGGTTGCCATTGTCAATTGCTATGTCGTTTGTAGGGAGAGGAGGCAAACTGTGAATGAGACTGGTCGAGGTACGTGAGCAGGCTTTATATAATGCCTAGGTTCTTGTAAGTATCCACCATTGAAAATAACGCCTACTCAGAATTCACAAAAACCATGTAAGTCCCAGGCGTTACATGTGAACACTATGTATCTGAATTATCTTAATAATAACCCTTTATTCCCACCAATTATTTATAATTTATCAAAAATAAAAATAAAATAAAAAAGAATTTTTTGTTCACATCTCATGACTATGCATTTATATTTTTTTATTTTTTATAAAAGGTGGGGATAAAGCCTAATTATGTTTATTTATTTATTTGTCTTTTGGGACGGGGAAAATTTTAATTGATGAATTAAGTTTTGGTCTGTTCTGTTCGCACCTTTGCATGGTGGACATGTGGTGCTCTCTGCAACGTCTTTCCTGCTTCTTTACTTAGAAAAAAGAGATACCTTTCTGGGACTTTTGGCTAAGATATCAAGCAGAATTAGGAATTTTTCAACCGGCTTGGAGAAGGGGGGAATTGAACTTAGGACAAAGGTAAATGGTTTTAATTTAACTATTTGAGCTACAAATCCCTTGAAATTTCGAATAAGCTTTAGCATAAAACAAATACATATGAAATGCAACTGAAAACCATATATTATCAAAATAAAAATATGTTCAACAACATAATTGAAAAAATAACTATTTTAATGTGTATTTTTATTGCTGTCATGCAACTAAATTAAAAAAGAATTGAACTTTTTTGAACTCTAATTAATAGGTTAATACAGGGTTGTATTTAAAAAGAAGGCAAAGGCAAATATATAAGTTTGATTTTTTTTTTCCCCCAAAAATCTCCTTTGGCTACAGCCCACTGCAGCCTTTATAGTGGTTCCGCCAGTGTCATACACTTGACATGTGCCAAACCTTGAGACCACAAATCTGCAAATCAAGACTCTTTTTCACTGGGCTAGTGGTTTGGCCATCAACATTTCTCTTTTCCCCCCTTTTCCACCTTTATTCATTCAATTACGTACCTTCTTGTTTTATTTTTCAACATATTAAATGTTAATCTTGACATTTGTGCTTATTTTGGTTCCTCCCCCCATCTCACCTTTTCTTTATTTTGCAGGAATTTGCTTTCCAGATTGTATCCAGCTAATGAGTTTTGTTATATACAATCAAGACAACTTTATTTTAAATAATCACAGCCAAAAAAGAGTATAAACATGTTAACTTTCTCAGAAATGGATTTATACTCCTACTTGAAGTATTGGTAGTAACTGGAATCCCAATTCCAATCAAAACTAATATGAGGATTTCATAAACTTTTTTATTCAACTTAAAACTGGCATAATTGGGGTTTAACACTTTTTGTTTAACAACAAGAAGCTCTTAAATAAGTATAGGTTAGCCATACCTCAAACAAAGAGATACACAAAATTAAATGCAAAACTACAATTCTAATACCGCAAATGGAAATATTTTTGCTCACCTTTTTAACTCAATGTATATCCTCATTATAATTCTCAACACTTGACATATGTTCATAGGCATAACCATAGTTAACTATTTGCTTTGTATTTGTGGAACCATTGTTATGTTCATGGACATGTATTAAGTGTTGAGAAGGGTAGTGAGGATACACTTTGGGTTAAAGTGGTGAATAAAAATGCACACTACGTTAAATACCTAATGTGCTTAGTCACTCTAGCTTCATGAATTCACATTCGCTCTTCTCAATATTACTTGTATATAGGTACAATTCACCCCTGTCTAGATAGGATTGGAGCCCGACCCAAAATTTTAAATTGCAATATCCAGTTAGTCCAGCCTCTACAAAGGCTTGAAAAGCAGCCCAGCCCATAATATTCTTCTACCCAATAAGCCCAACTCATATAACCTTTTACCCAATCAGTTTTATCCAAAAAACAAAAACAGAAATATTTAAATACAAATTTATAAATAAACTCAATCCTAGACATGTATTTATAAAAAAAAATACAAATTTATAAATAAACCCAATCCTAGATATGTATTTATAAAAAAACCCAAGCACTATTTAAACATAGAAACACACCCAAAATCAACCCCAAAGTCAACTTTTTGGGTGTGTTTATAAATGGGTTTTGAGTGTGTGTAATGATGGGTTTTGGGTGTGTTTATATGTTTAAATAGTGCTTGGGTTTTTTTATAATTTCAACCCCCATTTTGGGTGTTTTAGTAAAACTCCCTAAAAAAAACCCAAGCACTATTTAAACATAGAAACACACCCAAAATCAACCCCAAAGTCAACAATTGTATATTTTTTGGGTGTGTTTATAAATGGATTTTGAGTGTGTGTAATGATGGATTTTGGGTGTGTTTATAAAATGTTTTGGGTGTTGAGTTCTTTTATAATTTCAGACCCCATTTTGAGTGTTTTAGTGAAACTCCCATATTTAAAAGTAGATAGCTGCCCACGTGAGTTTTTATTCCTTTTTTACTTTCTTCTTCTTGTACTCTTTTTTTTTTAAATAAAAAAAATCATTTAATTTGTAAAATACCTTCTGAATTTTGATTTAAGGCTATATAAATTAGGGTTTTTTTCTCTTCTAATTGATGTCTAACTTAGGGATTTATGGTTGTTACTACTTGGATTTATGGGTGTTACTTCAGATATTTTACTGTCAAGTTTTCTTTTATGTAAAATTTAAAAAGTACGTTGTTCTTGATAATGTACTTGAATATGTAGAAGTAAATAATAAGAGTGTTTAACATGTTATATATCATTTATGAAAAGTCATAAAAACAAAGTAAACTTTATCGAAATTTCAGCACAAGTTTTTTTATTAAGAAAATTGGCCTACAAAATAACCCCATACATTTGTAAATCCTGAATCCGTGCATACTTGTATAGGAAATAAAGAACCCTAAAATATTATGAAATTTTCTACAGACCTTTAGTTATAACCCTACTTTCTATGTGAAGTTGCCCTTGTTACAGAAGCAATATTAATATAGAACTCTAGTCCGAGCTTGATCTTCTCTCCAAGGCTCTCCTTATTTGTTGGCAAATCTGGGAGGCTAGGAATAAACTGTTATTCCAAGACTTGAAGCCCTTACCTGCTAGCTGCATCCATGCTGCAGCAACCGTTGGTTTAGACTACTGGAAGCTGAATTCGTTACCCAGGAAAGATAAGGATTTCTCAATGATGATTAAATGGCATCCCCCTCCTACTGGCTGGATTAAAGTTAACTTTGATGGGTCTCATATAAACTCGTCATTGATAGCATTCTCAAAAAAGCTACCCCACCCTTGGAGTATCCGCCAGATTATTTAGGACATTCGATCCCTTTCTTCTTCTGTCAGCCATGTGCACTTTCAGCATGTTTTTAGGGAGGCTAACTTCACGGCCGATGCGGTAGCCAAGCTGGGACACGAGCTTTCCTCTCGAATTGTCTGGGAGCTTGGTTTGCCGTTATCGGTCTGCTCCGCCTTTTATTTCGACCTCTTTGGGCATTCCTGCCCGAGAGGCTTTGTCTTGTAATTTATTTTTTCATATAAAAAAAAAAACTATATTGAATGTGTATGATAGCAATAATACGAGTCACTACTGCTTATAACCACTGGTGGACCCAATACATGCCTACTGTGGGCAGCTACCCACACTTAAGTGTTTTCTTCACCCATCTAGCCAAACACTTTGCCAATAAAACCAAGACACTTGGCTAATATTTTACATGCAAAATCCCCACTCAACACCCTAAATAAGCAAAGCCTTCAAGATTTTAGCCCAAAACCTCTCCTATATTGAAAATATCAAGGCTCAAGACTTAATGAATATGTGGTCCAATGTTTTATAGCCTTAGATTTTGGCCGAAAATCATATATTAAAAAATTATTGAAATAGATTATGTGTTATAATATATATCGGATTGCTATGAAAACCTAGACTTTGTAGGTGTCAACTATGAAATTATTTTTTATGCTCCCAGATGGACAAAAGTCTGGGTCCGTCACTGTCTATAGAAGCCATAAAGCCCAAATGTTCTAAATAAGTATAGAAGTAAATAAACTAGGCCCAAGTTGTTTATTTAAGCCCATAAAGAGACCAATTGAGCTTGCAGACATTAAAATTTGTTTGGTTCGCAGAAAAGATTTGATGAGAAATAATTTTCCATGTCTTTTCCCAAGGAATGAGAAATGAAAATTTCATTTATCATGTTTGGTAATGCTGGAAAAGTAAGTAAGAAATATCACTTTATTTCATTTCCCATATTTGGGTTGCATAGGAATGTGAATTTACAAGTTCATCTACCAACGAGAGGCAACAACAATTCACATGAATGAAAATAAGGGCTTTTCTACAAAATATAAATGTAATGACAGAAGGACCTACTAATCCAACAAATTCCTAACCTTATTCAACAAACCATAATCAAAACAGACACATAAAGGGTAACTTGCTACGATCCGAATGCTTGGATTTTCTCTACTAGGATTTGCTTGACTTTTCATGTCTACATGCTACCTCATTTAAATTCAATCTAAGGGTTTGAGGATTGACAAATCACACTTGAAAAAAAAATTACAAATTGCCTCAAGAATCTAATGCCAAACCTACAACATCCCTCCTCCTCCTTCTTCTTCTTCCCATATGAAAATAAGTATTGTCAATTATCAAAGATGCAATCTTTCACAACCTCTTCTCTTCACATATGAAAATCAAGTTTGCCAATTCTCAAAAATCCAATTCGGCAACTAGTTTAGTAGTTTCAAATCACAAACATTATATCATAAACATTGAATAGAATCGAACAAGAAACAAAATTAAAGAAAGGAAGTAGAGAGGCTGCAAATAGGGTTTAGGGTTGCAGATTTGCTGTGGAAAATGGGTTCCAGAATGTTATTTGTGAAGCAGATTGTAGGGAAGTCATTACAAGCATCAATGGCTCTATTTCTAGAGGTCGGTGGCAGATCTACCTTGTCCTAAGTAATATTCACAACACTCGGGCCAATTTCCAATCTTGCTTGTGGTCTTGGGTTCCTAACTTCCTAGAACAGCCAACCAGGCGGCTGATCATTTGACAATGCTTGCTAATGGGCTCCCTTGCCCCTTAGGAAGTGACTAACTTGGAAGCTTCGAGGCCCCTGATGTTTTTGCTATTTGCAGCACCGTCTCTGTTCCTCTCAAGCTTTGTTTGCATGCTTTTATTTTGTCGTTCAGCATGTTTGCTTGAACTTCTCTGCTTGTACCCCTTTTAGCTTTGTTTGTCTTTCTATGGCTTGCAATGAATTCCAGTATTGACAACAACAACAACAACAACAAAGAAAAAAAAAGAGGCTACAAATAGTTAGGAAACGTTACTTTCATTAGGGTATTAGTCTTTTTATCTTCTTTTTTTAATATATATTTTTTTTCAATCACAAAGAAAATTGTTGTTTTTTTCTTTAAGCGTGACGTGTCCAACTCTCTCAAGTCCTTAGATTGAATTTAAAAATGAGGTGTCATGTAGAGATGAAAAGTTAAGCAAATTCTAGCAGAGAAAATCCAAGCAGAGGATTCGGATCCAATTTTTTGAATTGGATCCTAGTCATCTGGTTTCATTTATAAAAATTATATTTTATTCAGAGAAAATAAGGTGATGAGTTGTAGGTGAGAAAAAAAATGAGTTTGAAGGGGTAAAGCAAAATTTATTAAATTTAAATTAGTCAATATGACATAGCTTAGTTGGTTGAGCCCTTCCACCTCCACCATGTGGGCAGAGGTTCAAAAACCCCAAGCACCCAATAAATATTTTTGTAACCCCTCCCCCAATCGCTCGTATTTAAAAATATAATATAATATAAAAAATATAAAAAAAGACTCTACTTCCCTTTTTTTCCAAAATCATAGTTTAACACATATGAAAAAAATAATTTATAGAAACTACAAATAGAAAAATTTAGGACAAACAACATAAAACCCCTTACATTATAGGGTCATTTTCAAGTTCATACCCAATTTTAGAGACATTTACGAGTACATACTCAGACTCCCAGAAACCCTACAAATTGCCTCATCTGCTAGCCAAGCCGTTAGTGAATCTGTTAAATGCTAATGTGGCAAATGTGGGCTCTATTTTTTAATGACATGGATTCCTAGTGGACAAAACAAATAATAAAAAATTATCTACTTTTGAAAATATTGAAACCCACTATTTAAAATTTTAAAAATGAAAAGAAAAAAAAAATCTCTCTCCTCTCCTCCTAGCCCCCAGCCACCGTAACCACCACCCAAGCTTACTCAGGCCACCCATCCCCAAATCGAAATGCTCCACCCCATCTCAACCTCTGCCACCCCAACCCAGGAAAATAAAAAAATTAAAAAAGAATAATACTAGTCTTACCACATTTTTATACCAGAATTTCATACCACATGATGTGGCAGCTGATTTGTACATACCACATCATGTAAAATAATAGTTTCTGTTTTTCTAATTTTATTTATTAAAATACACTTCATTCATTTAATTAATGTGACATATGATATGAATATGTCACATCATGTGGTATAAAAATGTGGGATAAAAATATGGTAAGTGTAGCATTACTCATAAAAAAATCCTACCCAGATCCAACAGTCAAACTGAATTCCAAATCAAATAGACAATTTTATCAGATCTATTTAAAACATTTTGAATTTTTCAAATCCAGTATTCGAAAACCCAACTGAAGATCTAATCTTAATTCAATAACCATATATAGCAACCTGAACCGTGAAAACACAAATCTACACAAGTAACTAGCTAACAAATTTCCTAATCAAATAGTCAAATAATAAAATAAATCTAGCATACACATATCTATTGCATACCAATCACTGTAAACAAGACTATAAGCTATTATGAGCAAAAATATAGATAAAAAAATTACTGTAAACATCAATACATATCCATAAATTAATACTAGCCCCTTGGCACATGCTCACGCATGTGCCAATTGATTTTCTTTTTTCTTTTTCTTTTATTTTTAGAATTAAGAAAAGATAACATGGGTAGTTATGTTCCATTAAAGTAGGACCTATTATCTGATTTTGTTTTTAATTTTAATTTTTAATATAAAAAAATGTGAATTTACCATATTATCCTCATTTAATTAATAATTTCAATTCTTCATGTTTGAATTAACCAAGAGAATTTTCTGGTATTTTGAATGTTTCACCATAATCTTCCTTTTGTTTTATATATATAGATAAATGACAATACATATCTATAAGTTACTGAAAGATAACAAAGCAAGGAAATCAGATCTTAAATGGATAGACCCTAAATCACTAGCTTTTCAAACAATAATTCAAACCAAAAGACAGAAAACCCTCTTAATCAAGCACTTCGATGCCTTTTCGTCTATACGCGTTGAAGACGACAACTCCGTCGTCACCAGCGTCGAAGGGTTGGTGTACATCGGGGCAACGGACGGGGCCTTCAAAGTGTGGAAAAGAGAGCAAACGCTAGGGATGGGCATCTAAAGCCGAAATACTGAAACCGTACACTAACCATACTGTACAAAACCAGTTTTATACCGTTTCGTTGGGATGAGGCAGTATTCGGTACGATACTGTATCGTACCAATGGAGTATGGTATAGTAGCGGTACTAGGTATTTGGTATCGGTCAGTACCGTATCTTACCTAATACCTAAAGTTTTATAATTTTTTCATTCTCTCGCATCAAACGTGAAACCTTATTTATTTAACTACTTCTAGAAGGCCTTGTAGTCTAACATGTTCATACTTTCTTAAAGGATAAAAAAGATTTTCACATTTGAATCAAATGGAAATTATTTGTTTATATTCTGTTAACTACTTATCTCTCATGCAGCAGGGAAATTGAACAACAACAAAACTAGGCCAAATAATGCAAAAGTTGCTCTTAGAAAATCTTTAACTTCTAAAAGTTTTGTTCGGCAATCTAGAAGAAATGTGGTGAGAGCTTGAAGCTTAAGTAATAGTCTTTGTAAATTAACTACTAATAATACGTGTGACTATAGACATTTCCTTTGTTCTGCATCAACAATTTGGTATTAATAAAGATGCATGTGCTTCCTGTGTTGTGAATTTCCATTATTTTGCAGGCCAGCTTGGTGAAGGTTTCACCAACCAAAATACCATGTCCACCGACTATTGAAGCAAATAATGGCTTCAATCTATGTTGATGGATACTGATTTGGTTTATTTGGATTTGGTTGATTTGGATATTGAATATGTTGAACTTGAATCTATTGATGGATATTGATTTGGTTGATTTGTATTTGGTTGATTTGGATATTGAATTTGTTGAATCTATTATAAGGCATCACTTATTTGGTGAATGAATTTGTTGAGTATTGAATTGGCTGATTTTTGAGTTGTGTAATTTTGGTACCGAAATGGTACCATTTCACACTAATACCGATTTCGTACGGTATGGTACTGTACAAACTTTGGCAAACGATAATCTCATATCGTACCGTATCGGTTCTAATTTTCGGTATCGGTAGCGGTACGAGCTTAATACCGTACCATATCTTACCATGCCCAGCCCTAGCAGACGCTGCTAAAGAAGCGCGGTGACAGCACTCTCCTCAATGCCTCGAGCTCGATTGTGTACTGCAGGTCCTCTAACAATATGGGTGATGGGGGTGTGGGTGGGTTTAGATGGTTATGGATTTAGCCAAAAAAGTTGAAGACTTGAAAAAGAAGAAGTAGCAGCTAATACTATTCTTCTTCTTGTTGGTTATGTTTTGGAACTTGGAAGGAAAAGGCATAGATGAGCAGAGAGGGGTTGGGGAAGCCGCTTAGATTGGTGTTGCTGGGAGAGTTGGATTTGCGTAGGTTTTTTATTATTTTTAATTTTCATTTATTATTTTTAAACAATAAATAAATTTTTTATTATTTGTTTTGTCCACTAGGAATCCATGTCATTAAAAAATGGAGTCCATATTCACCACATTAGCATTTAACAAATTCACTAAGGCCCAGTTTGGGATTGTTGTTACTTTTAAAAAAAAGTTGCTTCTACTATGCTTTGAAAATAATTAGTTGTAAAGTAAAGCAGCTCCATGTTTGGTAAACAATATTTTTAAAGTGCTGTTAGTATAAAGAGCAATGTCAAAACCGTTTAGTAAATTTTAATATAAAATTGTTGTAACTATGAATAATGTCTAAAATAGACATGATGTTAAAAGTGTTATGTACTAATCATGTGGTGGTAGTGGTAGTGGTAGTGATGGACTGGAGGTGGTGGTGGTGGGGATGGCGGTTGTGGAGGTGGAGGTGGTGGTGGTAGTGGCAGCATGGTGGTGGTTGTGGTGTTGGTTGTGGAGGTTTGGGTGGAGGAGGTGATTGTGGCGGTAGTGCTGGTGGTGGTCGTGGTGGGGGGAGGTGGAGGTGGAGGGGAGGAGGTGGTGGTGGTTGTGGTGGTGGTGGCGGAGGATGTGGTGGTGGTGGTGGCGGTGGTTGTGGAGGTAGTGAATGTGGTGGAGATGGATGTGGAAGTGGAGATGGTGTCATTTTTTAATGAATGATGATATTTTGGGAATTAAAATTTTTTATATTAAAGATTCATCTCTACTTCTTTTGAAAGCAGCTTTGAAAAGTAACATAAAGCCTGCTTTTAAAAGCTGCTGTCAAAAGGCCACTGCTTTTAAAATAATTGAGATATTTTATTTTTACCAAACACATTAAATTGCTTAACTTTAAAGTGAAGTTGGTTTTTAAAAAAAAAAAAAAAAAAAAAAAAAAAAAAAATCCCAATTTGGCTAACAGAGGAGGCAATTTGTAGGGTTTCCTAGAGTTTGATTATGTACTCGTAAATGTCTCTAAAATTGGGTATGAACTTGAAAATGACCATATAATTTGAGAGGTTTTATGTAATTTGTCCTAAAATTTATATATACATGCCAAATTGTGATTGGTGTGAATATAATATATTATGAGTTCCTACATTCAGAGGCAGGAGAAAAATATTTTCCTTTCAAACTTCCAAATATATTATTTTATAATGTTTGTTGACAAATAGTCGTGAATGAGTGTTTCTAAAAGTAGAAAAATACCCAATTTTGGATCACACGCAATTACCCAATTGATCACAGTCCGCAAAGACCCACCCACCCAAAATCCAGAAGGCAAGCCGTGGACAAAAGTGGTGGCTTAGGTTCAACCTAGCCCAACTCTCGTTGACAGCGACCTCCAACGCAACATCGTCCACGAACCAGATCCAGTGGAGCCCACAACAACCAAAATAAATAATAAAATAAAACCGGAACGCAGCCCAAATGGAAAACGGAATTCATCCGAAATGCAAATCCAGCCAATCACGTCGCAGCATTAGATCGATCCTCTCTCCACCACGAATTTAGATACGCTCTCCCCATCACTCGTGTCGCCAAATTTCACCAATTTCCCTCCGTAACGTCACGTGACACGGGCCCCACCCCTTTCCCCACCAGAAGGCCAACTCTTCTCTGCCTCACTCTGGAAATCTCTCTCTCTCTCTTACTCTTCGGAAGGAAGGCTCTGCATGTTGGAAGTTTGGTTGATGTTTACTTTGTGAAGCTTCTGGCGATGTGTGGACGAAACTCTGTGTGTGTCTCTGATTGCGGTTTCGGTTTTGTGATTACTTGTGGCTTCTTCAGAGATGTTTGATTGGAACGACGAGGAGGTATGCCGTTTCTTCTTCTTGATTTTTTTTTCTTCCCATATTAAACAGTCGGATTTATATTTTGTTGGTTTGATTGTGAAATGATGAAAGTTGTTGTTTGGTTTTTGGAGTGAGAAGACATGAATTGGTCTTGTTCTGTTTGGATGGATTACCTTGTTTTAGAAATATACACTTCTTAGGTGAATTTCTGTGTTCTTGTTGATGAATTTGATGCACGGTAGTCAAATATGTTATATTTCTTGAATTTTTGTGACGATCTAGCAAATGAGAGACAGACATATAGAATAGTTATCAGTAAATTATGAATCCTGAAATTTTTTTCCAAATTTGAATTTTCTAATGCCATAAAGGTAATGACTTATATTTATGTAAGAAAATTGAAAAAAAATGGAGAGAGTCCAAGGATGAACAGTTCTGGAGGTGGTTGTTTGATGAACATACGGAGTGTCAGTTTGTGTTAGGATTGGCAATTTGAATTAATCTAGGAATCACTGTTTTTTGTCTTCAGTATGAGTATATAGCACATGGTCATGAACAGTAGGGGATAAAGTGAGTTTGCATGATGCAGGAAGAGTTCCTTGTTCGAGTGAAAGCAAGGTGAAGAAACAAGAATCGGGCTGATCTAGGATTCTATATAATGAAATGAAGACCTGAGAAACAACATTTTTTGAAATGATGTTGCAAATTGGATATGTAGCACTAAGTGGAATTATAGAGGCGACATTGAGCTCTCGGGGTTATTTAGAGTTCTAATAAAAAATGTAGTTCTTTATGGTTTCTATACTGTAACTAGGAAATATGAGAGTGAAGAAGGTATAAGGAAAGTTACAAGTTATACTGTATGTGTAACCCAAAAAAGGTAGTAGTGGAATCTCGTCTTGAAAGCTATAGATTACACTGTCCCGAATTCGATTATGCAAACTGTGCTAGTTACACAATAGCGAAACTACAATGACAATTATGAAAGCTGTAATGCGGAACTGTAGAATCGGCATATTTTTGTTAACAGAGGTGTAGGTTTATCAGGTTCTTATATATTTTTGTTAATCAGAAAATTGGGGAGCTGCAGTTTGTCGAGTTTTTAGTTTTTGTTTTGTTTTGTTTTTTGGGTTGTAGAGTGCCTGTGGTTGTACTACAACCTTTAGGATGTGTTTTGGTAATTCTATCTAGCTGGTGGAATTCTTATCAGCACCTTTACTTTATTTTTTATTTTTTTTGGTAATATTCGAACCGAGTATTTCAATCTGCAGCATGCTTTGTTAATATTGGTTCAAACGACTGGTGTTTTAATTTTCTAAGTACATCTCTATTATTTGTAATAATGAAGTTTCAATCTAATCCTCAAACACCAACAAGCACTTACACAATATAGTTCTATTAGATACTAGTAAATCCTAACCGACTTGTTTAATTGTGTTAGATGACTTCAGACTAACCCAATTTATTCATTAATCATGTCTTGTTTGTATGACACATGAACTAGAAACTTAAGACTAGAATCCCTCATTTCTAAATCAAATATACCACTCATACACCCCTCGCGCAATAAAATCCAAATCATTGAGTGCTAAAAAACTAAGTAAAGGATTCAAACAATAACATATGAAGAAGCCAAAAAAGGAAAGGATTTTTTTTCATAAAATATATTTAAATTAGTTTGTCTTGTTAAAATTTGGTTATTTGTGTTTGCCATGGACCTAAAATGCTTATTATTTATGTTGCTGTAAGGTAAAGTCTAGGATCTTGAAAGAACAGTAATGACTTCAGACTAATGAAATAATCAAAATGCATCAGAAGTTTCCAAAAGGTGACTGGAGGGATGAAAAATGATGGATGCTTATTTACACGGGTCACTGAGACCGAATCTAATTCGTGTACAATGTGTTAAAATGCCAGAAGCTTTGAGAATTATGATTTCCTGACCAGTGTACATTAATCATCATGCGATGTCTGATTGTCTCTCTATCTCTCATATGTACACAATCTCAAGTAGTGATATGCAACTAAGCTGACAGAATCATCTGTTATTACTTTCAGTGATCTTTTAAATCCTTTTATATCAACTTCCCAATGAAAGTATTTAAATATTGTTCTCATCATGTCTCATGCTAATGTTTAATTTTAGTTTGTGCTTTCAGCTAGCAAACATAATATGGGGTGAGGCAGGTGAGAATGATGATCATATTGTGCCTTATCCTGAGGCAAGTGATGATTATTGCAACAAGAAGGAATGGGGTCAAGAATCTCATACCAACAAGCCTACTGAACAGAAGACCCCTGTGGCCAAAATTGACTTGCATAGCAGTTCCAACTTTGACACCATTGAAGGAATTTCAACCTCTGAATTTGGAACAGACTCGTGGCCTGATTTATCTTTATCTGATGTTGCCAAAACTGAACAGCATTGCATAGGTACTGAAGCACCTGACAATTTTACTGAAATTATCAACAGTGGTTAATCAATTGTTTTTTTTTTTGGGCATAAAACAAGCATTTTTGTTTTAGGTAAGATATTGGATAAAACAAGCATTGACACACACTTACACACAAAGAGACATGCAAAAGGAATTGGTACCCCAGTGTCGGTTAACCTGACTTCATTTCCTGTTGACAATGGAGATCAATTGTGCTATGTCGTATTTACTCCAATTGAAAATTTATTCTTTACATCTCAGCTCCATTTCCTTACCCATCCTTCTATTCTTTCCTGGGACCTGAGCTGTATCGTTTGTTATATGTGCAGTCTATCTTTGAGTTAATTCTTGGTCCTTCCTGGGACAAAGAAAACACAAAACTGTCTTCTTCTTCTTTTTTTGTTTTTGTTTTTGTTTTTGTTTGTTTGCTCATCAGAGTGATTAGACTTTTTCTTCAGGTGTGGTTCACTTGTTAAATCAACTGAAAATTTGAAATCCTCAAACGACCCGAAGGATTAGTGATTGTGTGGCACAGTTGTTTAATATGAGATTTTGATGAGTTGATGGGGGCATGATGTTGGTAGCATATATGCTTTAAGCAATAATTATGGTGATTTCATGTCATCAATTGTATAGTGGAGTGCTCTAATGTTGGAAAAACAGGAAGATATGGGTAAGGCTTTTTAAGGTTTGTCATTTCCATTAGTTTCTTTCAAGTTGCAAGCTCAAGAAGATGGAGTTTCAGAAGGCAAAAACATTATGACAATATGAGGAATTTTTGTCAGTACATAAATGGCAAGGAAGGTAAATAACACCAATTTGATGTGATAAGCTAATCACTATAACTTGTGGTTGGCTATGCAATGAAACATGCATGATTTTCTATATTTCTATGGGGGAAGTGAGCAGAAGTGTTAAGTGTTTTGACAGGTGTATTAGGGAGGGAGAGCTGTTTTCTGTAGATTTTACACGAAACTCAATTTACTTGGTCTGATTTTAGGGACAGGTTGGTTTCTAAGTTGGACAGATTCCTTTTGACACTTGATTGGGAGGAGGCCTACCTGGATCGTAGACAAGAACCCTTAGTTATGTCACTGTTGAACCATTTTCCTGTTCTGTTGGACGCAAGGGGTTGGGTACCCTTTAGATATTAGTGGCTGCAACATAAGTCTTTCAAGGGTAGTTTTGAAAGATGGTGGCTGGAGTGTTCAATGCAGGGCTAGGCAGGTTTCAGGCTTCTGAAGAAACTGGAATGAGTTTAACAAAAGCTGAAAGTGTGGAATAAGGAGCTTTCTGGGATTTGAGAGTTAAATAAAATTTTGAGCAGGAATAAGGAGATTGATTTGTTGGACAAGGAGTGAGTCTGAGTGCAGAATTGATCAAGGAGAGGAGTGATCTTAGAAATAAGTTGGGTGAGGTGATGTTAAGGAACATTTTTCTCTGAGGCAAAAAACGAAAGTGAAATGGCTAAGGGAGTGGGATGATAAAATTGTTTTACTAATTGGGCCGGCGAGCTGTGTTTCCACTTGTTTCCTAGTTTATATTGGATTTCTTTGAACTGCAACTCAGTGATCTCTTCTAAAGTTTCTTCTTGGATTGGCATCATTTCTTGGGACAGGTTCGGAGTAATTTTGAGTGAGTAAGAGTTCAAAGAACATTTGGAATTGTCTTTTTGTCTAGCCAGTATCTCCTTGCATCCAAATCATGTCCATAAAATGTAATGGTCTGTTCTTTCCTCTGGTAATTTTCCTTTCATGTAGCCAACACTCAATGAAATCTTCCCTTTGAGCCCTTTAAGTTGATTTGGAAGGTTGGTGTTGTAACTAATGTGGAAATTGTACGTGGGGCTGGTGATCCGTGGGAAAATAAATGTGTGTCACTTGCTCCAAGAAGAAGGCCTTATGCATGCTTGTAACCACCTTGGGTCTCTGTCGTGTAAAAAGGAGGCAGAGAATGCTGACCAAATTTGTATACATCTTCATTTCAGTAGGCAGATTTGGGCTTGCATGTTGATGGTGTTTGGGTGACTTGTGCATGTATCCAAGGAGCTGATTTCGTTGTCGTCAGAGGGTCACTGGGCAGAAGGGGCTGGGAAAATTTTGCCCACTCTGGAGATGTGCTGATTTTGCTCTTATGTGGAATGTTTGGCCAGAAGAGAATAGCACGCTCTTTGAGGGCAAAGAGGAGGATGTGGAGTTACTTTGGGATAGGATATATTTTTAGTTTCTCAATGCTCTTCATTGTCAAAGAATTTTAAAGGCATCCCTATTAATGTAGTTCTTCTTTATTTGTTTTTTTTTGGGGTGGGGTGGGGTGGGTGGACTGGTGAATTTCTCGTCTATCTTACCTTTTATTTTCTGCTTGTTTTAACATAATTCGTGGTTCTTATTAAAAATTACCCTTTTAACAGCTGAGACAATTCAACTTGATAAAGATGGTGAAAATTTTCAAAATTCCAATGAAGCTAAAGAACAAGGTGATCTTGTTGACTTTGGGTGGGCTAACATTGGAAGTTTTGATGATCTTGATCAGATTTTCAGGTAATTCACCGTGATGACATCATTTTCTTGGTTTGTTAGTGAAGCATATTCGTCTCAAGAATATTCTGATATATATGAGTTTTTGCTATTGCACAGAAGTTTGCTCCTCGTTCTTTTTCTTTTTAGAATTGACAAGCTGGCATGATCTGAAAACCTAATTAAGTTTACCTTCTGTGTAGTTTCATAACTATCATTTGTAAATAGTTTTCTCTATATAAAAAACTAAAGCAACTGAAATGTTATGTGCTTCTTGGAATTTGTACTCTGAAGAACACCAGGTATAACATACAAAGTACTAAATTATATTAACAGTTTCAGACCATGAATTAGTAATAGATTTTGATACTCCTCACTCCAATTGTTTTACATAGCTTATTTAACCTTCCATATTAAATAATAAAAATATGCAGCTGTATCCATCTGACTCAATATTCTCACAAGTGGTTATTTTGCAGCAATGATGACTCCATCTTTGGCCATGCAAGTCTTGGTAACACTGACGAGCTATGGTCTTCTTCTAGAGATGCAACTACAAGTCCAATCAAAGCCTTTCCTGTATCTTCAGACTCACCAAGTTTCACATCAGGAGCACTAAGCAATGCATCTGAGAAATTGGAAATTAAAACAGAATATGCCCAGAAAGATGACGAGTCAATCACCCCTGGCTATGGAAAGACGAATTATTCTGCATCTCATGGTCTGCAGAATGCACATGTGATTCTTGATCATGTGGAATATGCTGGAGGTAAAAGTAAGCCCATGGCAAAGGAACAGGTACTATGATTTAATCTAAAACATGATCAGTTCATAGCACATTCATATTTTCCCACTAAATTAATCAAGAAAAGCAATCTCATAATTTTATTTGACTTTCACAGACAGATTTGGACATGGGAAAAAGCACTCTGACAAATTCTTACTTGATTGCTGAGAATTCTTCTACCCCAAATGAAATAGCTAATAAGGTACCATCTCTCTCTCTCTCTCACACTCTCTCTCTCTCTCTATCATGTTCTGATATGCCTAGGACTCGTGATGAGGCAAATCATTCATGGTTCTTAATAAAAAGTTAAATAGTCTGTCTGATGTCTTTTAGAATAATAACATATAGGATGTGGAAATGCTTAAGAAATTACTTCAAAATGTAAATGGAGTTGTCAACCTTTTGTATTAAAAGTCTGTTTAGCATGGAGGAAGAGTAACTAGTAGTTAGAGAGGGAAAGTATCAGTAGCCTGTGAGTATCGCATTTGACAGAAAAAAACATGTTATCTTTAGTCGAAGTATTGGTTATTTTCATAGTATGTCAGGTTTTACACAGTTTTTCCTTTAGACCTCCAACTTTGATTAAAGTATCATTAATCTTTTACTTACTGTGTATATACTTTCTATTTTCATCAACTGAGATCCAGATATTCATGATTGAAGTATCATAAGTTTTCTACTTGTTTTGTATGTCAAAGTGAGGATTTTGGTTCATGTTGTACTATTCCAATTGGATTTCATAGATCGTTGAAATAACGAAGTTCCTAGGATTCCATATTCATCCAATTTTGGGAGAAACCCACAAACACACACCACACACCCCTGGCCCCCACCCAACCCAACATCAAACTATTAAACAATATTCAAAAACGGAAATTCTTAAGACATCCATGCAAAGTAGTAGCCATTTAACATGATAAATGCATTTTCTTCTGGACGTCATCCAAGAGACATTAGGCCAGGTATTGTTGGAAAAAATTTTGTGGGTTAGGTGGTAATGAACGAATTGCAAAGATGCCTCTAGAATACAATGAAGTCTTGCACTTTCTGTTGTTGGTCTGCCTTTTGCACTTATGAAAACCAACCTGAACAAGAAGGCTCAATGTTTAGAAAATAGTGAAATCATTTCTGGAAATTTCTAGAGAAACTGACGAGTTTTAGAAAAAGAGAGAGTGACGAATTTTAGAGAGGGAGAACAATATTGGGATCATACAAATGTGTGAAATGTGGGTAGTTATAAAAGTTGTAGCATTCTTTCTTTTTACACCATAACTTTATCGAGTACAGAAAAATCTTTGTTGATTACAACATCAAATTCAATGTGTTAGTTTGTACTTTTCATTTCAAATTGAGTTATAGGGGTTCTTCCTTCATATGTGCAGGGTTCTAGACACAGAAAAATTATGAGGGGTCGCAGAAAGTTGGAGGAGAAAAGTGAGGAGAAATCATTGCAAGATTTTTATGGCACATGGCCTTCATCAAGAACCCCTTCCGGACATTCTGAGAACCAATTGGCACACTTCATGCTACAATCTTCTCCTTCTTCAGAGCTCAGCCAGAAGAGACAGCTTCAAGGACCTGAGTCTTTTCCATATCAACTTATCTCAAACCAATATGTGGCCCAGTCTATGTATGGGAACCTCACTAATCCAAACCATGCTACATATGTGCCGTCTCACATTCAGCCTGGGGAGTTGAAGCATCAACATTCTTTTTCTAGTTATGAAGTTTCTCCTGGGAGTGAAAGGGCTATAAACAAGTCAGCAGATACTTCTGTGAAGCCTCTGACCATGACTCCTCAAGAAAAAATTGAAAAGTTAAGGAGGCGGCAGCAACTACAGGCAATGCTTGCCATTCAGAAACAACAGCAACAATTTAGTCATCAAATCTGTAGTACCACTCAAAAATGTCCTCAAGAAAATAAAATTCAGCATTTTGAGAAAGCTGATCTGGAAGTTGAAGGCTTTAGCACTCTTCCTTCTCAGGACCCAAACTCATCCGCAGAACGAGATGATTCCAGTATGGTTTCTGCAGCAGTTGATGATTACTCAACGGAGGATACAATACTTTACAGGCTTCAAGATATTATATCAAAGGTATGCTCACTTTCAAAGTGGATTCTTTTCCTGCTAAGGTAAATTGGACTTAGTTACAATGGCAAAGCAATGTTTCACTACAGTTGGACATCAAAATAAGATTTTGCATACGGGATAGCTTGTTCCGGTTGGCTGAAAGTGCAATGAAAAGGCATTATGCTATTGATACTAGCAGTTCAAACAAAACTAGCAAGGATGAGGATGAAGTCGTTGCAAAGGAGGACACCAATAGTCATAACAGGTTAAAAAGCTTCCTTGTTCTCATAGTTTTGTTGCAATTTCATTTGAGCCCAAATGGTTATCCCTTGTATGCTGATTTCCTACATGGATTTACACCTGTGAAAAGAAAATATTTACTTGTAAACAATCCGAAAAGAACAGAGAAATAGTCATCTAGGTTATACAATCCTATAAAATCCATGACTTAATAGTTAACTTATTTTTGGTTTTTCTTACCATGCCTGAAAATAATCAGTGAAACTGTCATGAACTTGTTGAAATTTTAGTTTACACATGTAGTGAATTCCTTTGATTACTAGTAATGGTTAATGCTAGAACTTTTCAAGAATTAATGAGAGACTTCATTTGGGAGGTGGTGAGGGTAAAAAGAATAATTTAATCAGTTGGGATCTTGTATAGAAGCCGAAGGGGAAAGGTGGGTTAGTTCTTGGATAAATAGTTAGGGGTTTAGTAGGTAAATGGTTCTGAAGATTTCACCTAAAAATTTCCCCCATGGTTCGAAATATTAGGAATATAAGTGGAGTTAATTCTAATGGTTGGAATTACTGAAAGGTTCATTTCGATGTCCTTCGAACTTTTGAGATTGATATTTTTGTGTTATCCTTCCCTTTCTCATTTGTTGAAATTCATTGTTGATATTGGAAATATAAGTGGATTTTTTTGGGAAGATATTTGGGTTGGTAAGTTGTCTTTCTGATTGTTGTTATCCCAACTTTTACCGAATAGCTTCTATTTCACATTCTTGTGCGATTTAAGTTTTCAAAGGAATTTGAATGGGATATTGATTTGTTTATGTTATTAATAAATGTTTCCTAAAACCCAAGTTTTTTGGATAAAAAGACCGTTTCTTTCCCACTTTTTTAGAGTAAATTGGAAACTACTTCATGCTGTATAATTCATTTCCTTTATTAACTTTTTATACGCTCACAGCTACTTGGGTTCTTCATGAATACCCTCTTATCACCTTTTATGATGCACTTGACCATACTTAACAGCCCATGTATTGTAGAAAGTTACGATTTTCCCTTTTTTTTCTCTTTATATTTGTGGTGTATAAACTCTGATCAATTTTATATTTGGGTTTGGAGTAAGAACCATTTTGTCCAAGTTGTTTTTCACTCACTTTCCTATTAATCCCATGGTATTGCAGGCATGGTAGGATGCTAGATGTCGAAACAGAGACCAATCCCATAGATCGAATCGTGGCCCATTTGCTCTTCCATAGGCATTTGGATTTATCAGAGAAACATACTGACGCACCTGAATCACCTGTTTCTTCTAAGTTGACATGTGAACACAAAGCAGGTTTAGTGAATGTGTCAAATGAATGCTTGCCAGACAGTTTGAAGAACAAACAATGTTTTCCTCGTCAAGGATCTACAAATTATTGCCCATTGGGTGAGCCCCATTCTTCGGACCTGTTTAAAAAAAGTCCTTTGATGGACAACTCAGAAAACGCATCTAACAATGGTCCAACACATGGTGGAGCTATGAAGGCTGAAGCCTCTCTGTGAACAAATATGTGTCACATAATTTGATAAGGGTAATTCCTTCCTTTATCTCTCCCATGCTAATTAATAATTTAATAGGTTTCTAGTAAATGGCTGTACGGATTCACTGGTAATGTGGAGATTTTCTTTCATTGTCAGCCAACCACGATCTTCATCAAGTGTGGTCATGGAGCATCCGGCAACACTATTGATGGGGAGTATCCTATAAATGAATGCGCTTCATAAAAAGATTGCATTTTTCAAGACAATGTTCTGTAAGTAGTTATGCATGTGTCAACTGTCATAAGATTGGCTAAAGTGCCTCACATATACGAGGCCATACCTTGCCACCTGTGTGAGTAAGATTTTCTATGTATGTAGAGTTGGAGCTGCATATTTAGCTAGTATTTCAGCTCCTAACAAATTTATGCGTTCAACTTGCAAAAATAAATCCAGAGGTAATATGTCCTTAGTTAAAGTAAATATCTTAGATTGTTAAATAACATATGAATACTTGATTTACATTGTCCAGCTACACAGACGACAAGCTAGTTTTTTGGTGGATGGTTATCTACTTCTGCTTGCAACTACTTTTGTTCTTGTGTTGTGCCCTTGTTTTTTTTCCAAGTATGTTGTCGTAGCTTTTGTTTTGGAGGTTTTTTTTTTGGTCTGATGTTTTGGAGTCTATATATGGGTTTTATAGAGTGTGATTTTTGTCTTTATATTTTACCAAAAAGAAAGTGAGTGCCCATTGAACAATTGAACGCGATAGCAGTACATTGAGGTTGGAATATACAAATAGAATGTATATGGGTTTTATAGGGCTTGTTTGATAGGGAGAACTAGATTAGACTAGAGTAGCAAAATGCCTACATTTCATGTGCATTCAAGACGGTATGAATATGTTGCCTAACTTGGAGGAAGAAAGGGGACTATCTATAAGAGGTTGATGACTAAAACTTATCCTTGAGTCTATTAGAGAATGGGGACTATTCATACCGTGGGTTCTTCAGACGTTTTTAACTGGTATAAAGAACAATAAGACTATATGCTGTTACGGATGGGAAATGAGGTAATGCACGATGCCATTGTTGAAGCTTTTTCCGATTTACACCATCGTTTATGTTTATGGTACATTATGAGAAATGTGAACTCCAATTTGAATGACTTGAAAATTGTAAGAGAATTTAGCTACTGCGCGCAAGATGCTTTGATGCTAGAAATCCGAAGAACATTGATACATATGGTAGACGCATGATCTAAAAGGCAATTGGATTGAAATGGTGCACATAATTAGAAAAGATAGACTGAAGCTTATTGCTCGAGGCATTCTTTGATGGTTGCTCGAGGCATTCTTTGATGGGATACCACCACGCAACTAGTTGAGGGTAAGCATAAGAATTTGAAGGATGGAATCGGTAGACGGATGAAGTTAGTCAAGTGTATTCCGCGAACTGATATATGTTTGTTGAGTTGTTGAGAAATGAAATCATAGATCTATTTGAATAATTCAAACCCGGTCCCTGTTACCCAACTCTGATCTTCGAAGGGACATGGATTTTCCATTTCACCCACCACGTTTACAATTTGATAAGGAATGAGATTTTTAAATTAAAAAAACGACATTTCATTTCGTTGCAGCCCATAAGAAAGGATGACAATCTTCATGTTTACAAATTTTCCAAATTTGGGAGAGCCAATGAGGAATGGATTGCGTTTTACTACCACACAGAGCACCACTTCATAATCATGCAAACTAATTGAATCATATGGAATTCCTTGTTATCATACATTTTGTGTTATGAAATGTATGCATATGGACAATCATGGCATTAAACGTAGGGACATTTTGGTCCAATTTGTAACCGTACCAGAACTTATTCGCTGCAAATCCAACAAAAAAACCAATGTAAAGTGAGAGTAGAAACCTAAAGAACTTAACAAATCCACCAACAATATTAACATTAGCATCAAACTATCCATCTGACTAAGGGAAAATTTTATTTGAAAGGAGAAAAGCAAGGCTTCGATAGCAAATGATTATAGATTGACAACTGCCAATATACTCTCATATGCAAGCTTTGTGCTCCTCCATGATATCTTCCACCATCTGCAGGAGTAATAGATGGACCAATTGCAGCTACCTGAGAAGGATTCAAAGGGGCCGGGGACCCGACACGGATTTCAACCATCCCTACTCACATACTAACTTTAAAGGAATATTTTCATCACAATATAACCTTTCCACCCACAAGATACTGCACGTCTAATGTTCAACAAGGGCATCGGATCTCATTTATGAAACTTTAAATAAAGAGCATGTGACCTTATTTGAGGATGAGCTATATTTTTACGAAAAATAACCTCACAACTTTACAATTCTTATTCATGATAAGTAAACATGCCATAATTCCCTAATGCCTTACTTTACTTATCCATAAACATGCCATAATTGATTTTGAGAATTGGAGGGGTTAAAATGAGAACTCTAAAAAAGTTTGTGGACCACTTATGATAAAGACCCTTAATTTTCTGGTTACCATTTCCCCACATTACCAAACACCAAACACGTAATTCTCATCTCTTGGGAATGGAGATAAGAGTTTCATTCATCGGGCCAAAAGGGGCCCTACAAGTTAGGAGTTCACAAGTTAACAAAATGGAAAGGCGTAGCAATACAACTTGTGAGATTTGAACATAACGATCCCTCCAAAGTACCAAGTCACAACCGAACCAATGTTAACTTTTGTTTTAGTTCGGTTTATGCCTCAAATTAGTAACATAACTATATCAAACCAATTCATTCAGTGACCAATTTTGTTTGATTATCTCCCTTAATAAATAAATAAAAATTAGACAATAATTGAATGGTTGGAACAATTTTTTGCCAATCCCTAATTAAAACAAAGTACATGATTAAGTAACACTAAACATGTTACTCATCTTCACTCTAGGTCAAAACACGATATCGTGTCACTTAAAAGCACAACTTATGATACTGATTGAACTATGTGAAGAACATAACGGCCATCCCTTGAACTATAGAAAGTAGTTCTAATTACAAGTACTTTAAGTAACACAGAAAATACAAACCCATTAAATCAAAACCTGTTTTTGAATCTAGTCAAAACATTTCTAATGTTAACATTTTTTTGGGTATGTCATCACTTCATAAAGTGGCATGTAAGTCGTGTAGAAGGATCAGACGACGCAACGGTAAGTTTTGAGGGAACCAACAACTCCACCACTGTAAGTAGCTTTTACCACCTTCCCTTTCTCCAATCCATAGTATCTAGCAATTCCATCAGTTTCCAGCATTAGAGGGAGCTGTGGAAGACACAAACAATAAATGGCCTTCAATAATTTTATCAACCAAATTCCAACTTAGTAAATTGCAATCCACAGCTAGCATGACAAAGAAATTCTATGCTGCCAAAATAAGTCTATTCAGATTAAAGCTATTTCAATGGATACCTTGCTCCCAACCAATGGGGAGGAAACCACTTCTTAAACCAACTATCAAGAGCTTGATGTCAAATGAAAACTAACTAGCTTCCTTGTGTTTCACTCATTAAACAGTAAAAATCAATCACTAGTAAAGCTACCCTTGTACTTAGCTATATCAGTGTCAACAAAATTTAAGCCAAAAAAAAACAGCAAATAGATTTGACCCTAATTGTCACCAACATTTGTAAAGGTTGCATTCAAGATGCGTACACAGTTACCTGCTTGTCTTCCAACTTGTACTTCGTTAGCAGCTTGTTCTTTTCTTCGGCAGTGAGTATCTCGAGCTTTGGATTCAGAGCATGCTTTGTAATATTGACCAGCAAGTCACAAATCTAAACCCAAAGCATAAGTATTGGGGTAAAATGGAAACTCTTAAGTTAAAACCAGAAATATTAAGGGAAAAATGGTTGGATAAAACTTATGCTCAAAGTCCAAACGTTAAAGGCAAACAGCCGTATTGCCTAATTACAACAAAGTTACGAAAATGTAGACAGCTGCATTGCCTTACAAGTGATAAATTATACACTAATATTCATCTAAATTGGCATATCATAAAAAAAACATTTGAACACCGATCAAAAAATAAAAGAGAAACATGTGAACAGGAAACTCAATATTTATGCTTCAGAGGAAATCCAGATGGTGGTTTTCTCCAGTTATTCAGCATAAAACAAACAGAAAATGCCTTGACAACTCGAAGAGTAGCCCTTAGGACACTTGGAAAAAGGGCACAGTACAATATTGTAGAACAATATCAGGTAACTCACATGGAAAGTCTCAACTTTAAATGGATACTTCTCCAGTTCTTTCCGAGCATAGGAGTTCATTTTACTTTGCAGGACAAGAATCAGCCGGTGTATATTTTCTTTGTTCGGGAGGCCAGCATAGATGCCACACATAGTCTGTTTCCTTATTTCCTCAGTTCCACAAAAGATGACAACAATCTGCAAAGAAACTCAACATTCAGTTGCATCACTAATGCTGGAACCAAAAAAAAGCATGGAGGTTTACATAGGAACAGAGAAAAACATCAATTAATTACATGTCATTTCAACCATATCACTTCTGGTTTTGAAGAACATTTTCTTTTGGACCTTGCCAGTTTCTAATTTCCAACATATTATCTATAAAAACAAAAAGAAAAGTCTAATAAAAAATCAAAACTTTTCACTGCACGAAGCATTGTTCTTTTGTTTCAGAAATTTTCCTCATTCACTTCATCTCTGCTCCTAAAGTTGACACTTTTAAAGAGCATTTCACTAGACCCTTTCCCACGCATGACACCGTTTAAATACTAAGCAATATACACAATTGCTCAAATAGGTTTTACATAATCTGGTAAACTTACTTGCATAAAATATATATATTTCCTGTATCAGACTAAGACTATATCCTCTTAAAACTTCAGAAAATAGACAATAACATCAAAAGTAGAAACTTTTATCTTTGTGAACAAAAAAGGCAGGAACTTTGAGAAAAAAAAGGTGTCATTTTTTCCAGGAAAACATTTTCTGTTTGGCATTATTTTCCTCCTCCTCTGTTTTACTCGGCAACCAACCAAGCACAAAACTCAGAAAGGTACTTTCTTGGAGGGACTGGAGCCGAGAGAGAGAGAGAGAAAGAGAGACGCAGATACGGAGGAAAAATACATCCAAAAAGTAGGGACTTTTTTTTGTCTGCGAACAAAAAAGGTTGGAAAAAGGTGTCATTTTTCCCAGGAAAACATTTTCTGTTTTGCATTTTGTTTTCCTTTTCCCTCTGTTTTTTCTCGGCAACCAAACATAAAACATACCTTCTTGGAGGGATTGGAGCGCAGAGAGACGCAGATACGGAGCTGCTGGAGGTCCGGGTTGGGGCCGAACTGGGAGTGGAACTCAGTGAGTGAGAGAGAGAGGTCCGAGTCAGAGACGTCGCAGCCTCGGTCACTCAGCATCTCCATGGCCGTACGACGAGACAAGTAGAATCTGTAGCTCTCCATGCTCCCCTCCACCACATGGCTCGTTATACATCCCGGTCGTCGTCCTCCATCGCAACCCAAAACGACGGCGTTATCGTTGACGGTAGCCATTCAGCTTCTATTTCTCTTTCTCTCTCTGTGTGCGGAAGAGTGTGTGTGAGACGTTTGGAGGGAATATGAAAGCGTCGTACGGGCGGAGAGGAGGCATGTGTATGTACGGAATGTGGCCTCGAGTAAGAGGAACGTACGTTACTCGCTTGATTTTGTTGACACGCGTCCTTTTCTGAGCTATGGCTTTTGGCCCTTTCCCTCTACGACCCTTTTTTTTATTTTTTTAATTTTTATGAACTTGTCTCTCCGACTTTCTGGCTTCTTCAATTTGGAGAACATTTGTTTTGTTTCTTTCTTTGTGAAGGTGAGGATTATAAATTGTTTGAACACTTTGCCAAACTCTCCTCCCCCAAGTCAAAGCTCTCTCCCTCATTTAATGTATTTATGAACAATTTTCTTTTTACTTCTTTTGATGTGTAATGTAATGGTTGAATTTTTAGGTAGTTCCATTTTTGTGTTAGCTGAAATAAATGTAGATAACTTTTCATTTCTTTTACTTCATTTTATTGCAGTGTGAATACTATCTTAAGCAAACAAATCCCTTGAACGCATTTATACAGATGTTTTATTTTTTATTATTATTTATTATTATTTTTTTTTTTTTTTTTTGTTTTGATTAGAGAGAAGGTTAGAGAGAAAGTTTCACCAGTTGATGTTTATGATTTGCAATTTTAATACTTACTTACTAGATAATATGGCCCGTTCGGTAACGTTTTAAAGGGTTGTTTTCATTTTTAAAGAACAAAAATTAGGTAAAAACACGTTTGATGACCCAAAAACAGAAAACACTGAGAATATTTTCATTCATGTGTACTTGTAGAAAATAGAAAAAAGTTGTTTTCATTCTCACGGGAAACGTTTTTATAAAAATAATTCACATATTATTATTTTAAATTGTACTACCAGACACGTTTTCATTGTTTTTGTTTTCTGAATATGTTTTCTAATTTAATTAATCTCCCAGACGCATTTTCATTTCCTGAAAATGCAAATTCATTTTCTTGTTTTTGTTCTCTGAAAATATTCTGAAAAAATATTTTCCGAAAACATTACTGAACGGGCAACTTTTTTCTTTGTGATTACAGTGTGACTTTATATGTTATGTAGCAAGTTTTTGTTTTCGTCCTGCCTTTTAAAATTTTAGGACGGACACTGTATATTTTTTATTTATATTTTTTATTTTTTATTTTATATTTTGGAAGTCTAGAATGCACCGCCAGTGTGATAGAGTAGCTCATTCTCTAGCGCGGTTTGCATTAAGTTGCACAAAACAAATTATGTAAGATGAATTGAAGAGGAACCTAATTGGCTGAGCCCTCTTCTTGCTCAAGATTTTTCATTCGCATGATTTATGAAATGTTCTTTCTAAGAAAAATCATAAAATAAGAATGCACCTGTCAAGAGTCAACCCAAACCCAAATACAGTGGCACGTGTGAGGGTATATGTGTAAGTGTGTCGTTTAGTCGTAGGCTCGTAGCCAACAATCTTAAAATTCCGAGCAGATCTCTTTGGCACCACCACTACACTAGCCACTAGGGAGAGGCTATGGAGGTGGAGGAAGAGAAAATAAAGCAAACAAAGTGGAAGAGAAGAAGCAGCAGCAGCTCATCAAAGTCATCTTCGTGTCTTATAAATAATCTTGATGATGGGTGTCTGATGCACATCTTTAGCTTCCTCCCTCCCATCCCAGGTTGCGCTCTTTTCTTCTTTTTTCTTTAACAAAGAAACAAATTTCTATGCAAAGGCCCAATATTTAATTGTATCCATGAGTCCTTGAACCATTCCAGTATTTGGGGTTTTGTTCAATTGCTTGTTTTATCAATTTTTTTTTGTCGATTTTTGCTTTAGGGTTTTGCTTTGGGGTCCATATTTTGCTAATTTTCATTGCTTAATTGCTTTGTTTTTATTGGGTTTTTTTTGGGGTACCTGAAATCCATAAGAAATGATATACTTGTCAAGTTACATACTTTATACTTGTTAGTCTTTGGAAGATTGGAAATGTTGGTGTTGATCAAGTTTTGATAGTAATATTGTTGGCCCCGTGTTTTGGCTTTTCTAGCAAAATTCTTAATTATATTTTTATATATATTTAAAATAGTGAACTGTGAACGTGAAAATGGGTATTTAGTATAGAAAATAAAGTCTGCAAAATAGGACTACATACTTTTTCTTATAAGAAAAGGAATATAATTGTTGAAAATATGTGATTTTTTGGTTAACCTCGGTGAGAGGGGAGCCAAGGATAGTAAGGTCAGGGAAGAAGGGACCAGGGAATGCCTGAGCATTGTTATGTGTCCTAAACTTTTGTCTGTTTTGCCTGTGGATATTTTGGTAGGCACTAAAATGGGTGTTATGACTGCCTAAAGTTGTCTCATTACTGTTGTATCAAGTTTTCCTAATAGATATTGATAGCTCAAATGCATGTAGGTAAATAAATTTCTGCAATTTCTGTCTCAAATTGCTATTGAGTTTGCAGATCGGTATAACACCGCCCTCGTTTGCCACAGATGGCTTTTCTTGGCATGTCACCCTCGCTTGTGGCTACGAGTTGAACGATCTGTCAAAGATCGATTGGAGGAGCCTGGAGTTTTCCCCGACATTGAGACTGCTGTTGCTGCTGCAAGGTTTGGAATGTTTGATATGTCTGTATAATTTTTTTTCTTTATTGGGGTGTTTCAAATTGTTCATTTCTTTTTCCTTACAGGCCTGGTGACACCATTCTAATTGCAGCAGGAGGAAGGCATCTTGCTTCTAATATTCAAATAAAAAAGCGACTTTGCCTGGTATGTCTCGAAGTTCTGCATTTAGAAATACCAATTAAGACAGTTTGGCATGCTTGCATTATGTGTGTGTGCTTGTGAAGCCATTCTACTGGATTAAGGGTAATTTGTCTAAGTACTGTAGGTACCTAAGTGTGACAAAGGATTACCATACCTTTGTCTTTTTTTCATAGTGGGCATGGTACTTTTAAGTCCATTATTTCACTATTTGATGGAGGACTCCGATAGCTTACACTTTCTGGTTTGCAAAGATATCTTTAACCAACATGGTAATAAGTATTTTGAAAATGAAGTCTAGTTGTGCATGAAATAGTATAAATGTGCTAGCCTAAGGTAATTGAACATAGTTTGAGTGACACTAACTGTTTTGTCCTGTACAAGAATCCATTTGCAATCTAGTTTCAAGGAGGCAGTTGAACTTTAAGCCAAATCTAGCTGCTTGAAATGAAGCTTTCTTGTTAATTGTATATTTCTATCTTTCCCTAGTGAGTTAAAACCTTTTCCCAATAAGTGTTAGTTGTGTGCCTTACTTGCCACTAATATTTTTTTTAAGGAATTCTAATAGCACGTATGGTTGTTTATCAAGTGAAGCCTCATTTCTCCGTTGGATTTTGATTTTCAAATTCTAATTTCCATAAAGGAAAGAATTATATGTTAGGAATGTGATGGACGCATGATATTTTGTGAGACTTATATTATCACTTCTCCTAGATATTTTTTATGAATGTAAAATCTGCTCTCCAAAATATCTAGGAGAAGTCAAGTGAGAAGTCCCACGAAATAGGATGGGCTCATCACATTTCCAACATGGTTTTAGTGAACTTTATGGCCAGACTACTGTCAAACAAGTTAGATTATTAACTAAGTTCAGTTAAGTGAATCAACATTGCCAAAATTACAACTGCATTTCAACACTCTTTGGAATTGCACAGATATCTCTACCTTCTTGTTGTAGATCTTTTGGTAGTCTGCCTACCAATATCACTTCTTTTTTCTTTTCTTGTTAATAGTTTCATTCCAAAAATAAAACCTTTGTAGTATTATTCCAATCTTTCTCCATTTTCTATCTCAAGTTACTTTGTTCAGATTGGTGGAGGTGAGCTACCTGATGAAACAACACTCTTTTGTTCTCGAGCTTCAGACAGGTTTGTACATTTTAGGTTATGTTCAACTTTTTATTTTCGTGTGTTGGTTGTCTGAGATTTCTCTCTCAAATCTTTCTAGGAGCCACTTCCATGCTGTTAGATTTTACTGCACAAAATTAAAATTGTGGTTGTTTTGACGGAAATATTTTTTTACACAAAAATATCAGAGGATAGAAATTTTATTTTCTGTAAAAATTTGTTATCTGGTTCCATTTCCTATATTTTCTATACGATATACAAATTTACTTTGAAGAGGTTAATATTTAATATCAAAGAAACGTGTAAAAAATTATGATTTTCCTGCTATTTATTTTCTATCCTTTATTTCCACAAAACAACAGCCAAAGGGTGTATTTGAGCTTAGGGTCTTGTCCCTTAAACATGGGTTCTGATGTAGTTAATGTGGAGCCTGTAATTTTCATGTTGGACGATGTTGGAGCATATTGGTTGGATGCACTATCAATTCTCTCTAGGCAGCTGAGTACAAAATCATCTTGCCTTGAGTTTACTATACATTCATGCCACTTCCGCATTGTGGGAGGTTCTCATTGTTGGTCTTCCTACATGACTTTTAGTTTCAACGTTGAAGGTGAATCAGCTTCCATACGAACCAACCAATTGAAAGGGCTTTTTATTTTTATTTTTTATCATCTTATTTATTTATTTATTTATTTTAATGAATCATTGGGGGTGGTTCTTTTTTATTGTTACCGTAGCAGTATGGAAGTGCTCCTGAAAGTATGACCAATTTTTATTATTTTTTTTATTATTATCATTGGCAAAAAGTTTGGTATGCACTGTTCATTTTGTTTGAGCAGTGCATTGGAGTTGCTGTCCACCTGCAAATTGGCAAACTTGACTGTGAAGGCAGAGCTTGGTTGTTGCTTGCTTCATAGAAACGGAAGGCTGACGATAGAGGGGTGTGTGCTTCAATGCGAGTCAAATCCCCTGGACCATCTTTCATGCCCTATTGTGAGCACTGCTAGTTCCCAGACAGTATTCCCTTCCTCTGTGAAATGTTCTAAGGACGGTGTTTCCGTATTTCGAACTCGAATTGAAGGAGGTGCCAAGGCTGTTCTGACTAGTGGGGACTTGACATTGCAGCGAGTTCGAGTAATTTATGCCCGGACATCGATCTTTTTCTGGTTTGATGTAGAGCACCAGTGATGTCTTGTTCATCACACTGGGCACTTGTAAAATTGTACTTTAGACATTCTTTAGATGAAATGGACTATGTTGTCTGTATTTCAAGTATTGTAATAATTTTCAATTTTATTTCCTACCTCAAGTGGTCATAGCCAAGATGGCATTAACAAAAAGAGAATTGTGGGTGAAAGTTGTAGCAATAGAATGATCTAAAGTTTTACGTATAATATTGAACCAGGTTAAATTACTAATCGAAAACCCAAGAATGACTGATGCAGTTGACTGGATATTGGAATAACACAAGTTCTAAGAGCATATGCAACTTGGACTCAAAACATTGAAAGAGACGTTTGATTAGATGGTGAAATATCCCTTGCTTCTCTGTTGATATTTAATCATCCTTATTACGACGGTGAAAAAACCCTTATTCCTGTTTTTCCGAAAAAATTGAAAAAAGTTTTCTGCAACTCTAATAAAATTCAGCTCATCTATTAACCAAAAGCAGGTAAGGCAGAAACAATTTGGAACAAGATCAGCTACATGGAATACAACAATATCGTGTCATGCAATACAATGCCTTCCTATTTGTCTTTCCACAATCACAAAAATCACCTTCTATTCACTTATGTAGAATACAGCTCTAAGTTTCCTAAATGGCCACGTACACAAAATTGGCTCTAATCTTTGTGGATGGTTCTGTCCCGGATTCGTACTGCTACTCCCCCAAACTGCAATTTTTGTCCAAGGACTCTTCCAGCACAATAACAGTCTTCATGGTTCCATAAAACTACTGTTTATTTTGATTTTCTCTTCATCCATCCATTACCATTATAGCTTTCTGTACTACCTGAAAGTTGAGTACAGCGAAAATGTTGGTTCAAACTACTGATCAGGATTACAATGATTACATGGACAACAGTACTAAAGAGTTCTTGAAGCACACCAACTGTATAGTTAAGAAGATTCAATGCACCAAAGCCACCTTAAATCCTGGGATCAAGAGAAAACTGTCCAAATTTAATTACATCATTTTCCTCTCAACCCATAAGAGATAAAAAAAAATATACAAAAACAAAACTAGATCTGGTTCCTCATATTAGGCTTGTTAGCTGTGTTTCATTTAAATTTGAAGACTTATCATTCCACATATATTAGTTAGAGTTTAAATCTAGAAAAAAAGAAGTTTTGCTTGGTCTACACTCGCATTTACCTATAAGGTTTAAATTGTTCATTAAATTTGGGTTAACTGTTCCTCAGAGTGATCATTCTTAACTGAAATTTTGGTTATATGATCTATTATACAAGTTCAGTTCAGTAGCAAAAAGTCTATGTTAGTCTCCTTATTGAATTATCATTTTTTAACGAAAATTCAAGGATAAATATGATGGTATTGTACTTGATTCTTGGCCCATGAAAATCAAAGCAGACCATGACAAAAATGGAGTCGAGACATATGAGTGCAAAGTACTAAGCAACAGTTGTTAGACTAAAATTAATCTCAAAACTTACCCCAATAATAGGATAAACATGCGGGAGCTGAATTCAACTTCCTATAGCAGGTCTTCGTTGGACCACTAAATCATCAGCAGAATAATAATCTGCGATGAGCCGGTACATGTATGATGGATTATGCCCTCCTCTGTGAAGGAATAACAATTGTAATTGACAAACTAGCTAAATTGGGAAATAGAAAACTAAATATGTGCAAAATACTGAGATTCATTCAAATCCATTTGGTCCGAAATTAGTTGACTTACGTATCAGTGATAAATAAACTGACAAGCTTTGGTGGCACATAATCAAATGTAGGATTGACAACATGAAGGAGCGGGGAAGCAGTGCCACTTCCAAAATCCATGCAATCGGAAAATTCTCCAAAATCCAGCAGCTCAGAAGGTGATCTTAACTCATTCAGCAACACTTCAGGATTGTGAGGATACAAAGGGCACAACTGTCATGTAAACCACCACCGAAAGATTTTGAATAAAGAAAGCATTTAAGACAAAATCCAATAAATAAGCTACAGATAATATTACGCCCAGTTCAATGATTCAGTCCAGTTAACACCAACTTTGCTTACAGAATCCCATAGGATCCCTGATCCCTAAAACAAGTCTAAAAAAAAAAAAAAAAAAAAAAAAAAAAAAAAAAAAAAACAAAGACTAAATTTAAAATTTAACTAAAGCTCAATATAGCCGACCGAAGAAAAATTACTCTCTGATGCTACCACATGTATCATTATGCCTTGCTGAATCATGCGAGGATGCCAGGAGTATAGGGAAAAGTGAATTATTCAAGGTACTCTGCACTGGAATTACAAGATTCCATAGTTCCAGACTGCATTAACAGAGTCATTTGGTTAACTAAGTCTACCTTGCTCCGATGAGTTGAATCCTATCAAGAATTTATTCACAATTTTATCCTTTTCTTGGATTCGGCAACCAATATATCACTAGAAATTTTTGTGGCCTGTCAGGAGTTTATCAGGGAAATGGTTCTTTTAGCCTCAGATTCCCATTGATACCACAATTTACTGACATCTCAGAGACCTTGAGACAGGGTGGACAGGTATACCCTCCAACCCTATATCATTGTTGGTGGGCTCGAAAAACCCGAAATGTGAACCTTCATCTCAGTGCATTAGTCGACAATTTAAACACTACTTACAAGTCAATAATTTATATTTTGCTTCATTCTCAGGTAGCTCAGGAGCTTTGGATCTTAAAAACATTCCCCTTTTTGGGTGTCTTGGCTTTGCCTCCGACAATTCTGAGGGCACTTCTTAGGCAATACTCTATCATTTCCACAGGTGGATTACTTTGAGTTAAATAATTCCTTCTAATGCAGCTGGAGTTCAAGCCTTTGTAACCTTCCCTTTCCTCTCTTTTTATGTTTTTTTGTTGTCTAGCATCCTCACATAAAATGTTTATGTTATCCTTTCATAAAATTTTAAATGATGGAACCCACTTGAAGTTTTAGTGATACAAGTATACATTTTTATAGTTTCCACTTATTTTTTATATAGTAGCCTTCTATTGTGTACTTGACTTGTGCCCTTTACGTGTATTGTGAATCTAAGTCATATTTTTATTCCCCAGCCCAAAGTAAAAGAAAAAGAACCACCAATTTATGAGTGATAATCACCCAGGCAACTACAACAGTTATTTTATTAAGTTACCTTATGACTGCCGGCAAGTACAACAAAAGGGACGGCATGCCTTTGCGCTGCAAGTGCAACCATATTCAACCCAACAGGTGCTATAACACCACCATTGGCCATGACAGCATGAGCGCCAACTATAACCTATAACATTACAAAATTCAATATGAAGCTGGAACAAGGATGCAGATTTCCATATGGAAAAAGAAAATACTAAGAATGCGTCCTACCATGTTCACTCTGGATATCATGGCAAAAACTGCTGAATCAGTGATCAGCGTGGTTTGCAAACCTCTTGCAACCAATTCTTTAGCTAGAAGATGGCCCTGATACCTAATAGAAACCAATTAATAAGAAGATTACTGGTTTTTCAAGAAAACATCAAAATTACCACCAACTATAGATCTTATTAAAAAAAAAAAAAAAAAAAAAAAAAAAAAAAAAAAATACACCAAGAAAACCTTAAAATTACACCAATTATGGATATTATTGGTTTGGAACAAATAGGTAAACTTTTGCGCACTAACCTTGGAGCTCCCTCTGCAACAAATACCCGAAATGATCTTTTTTTCTCATTTGCAGCACAAAGAAATTCCAGTACTGTTCTTGAACTGCCTAAAGTTAATATAACCTCACTACAAAAATAAAATAAAATAATATCAGTTCACAGCATCATTAATGATACCACAAAGCTATACCAATTAAAATTCCGCTACAAACCATTTGAGCTAAAATTGATCATTGTTCCCATGCAGTTTGCACTATATATGGGGTATGATTAGGCTTCAAAATTTGGATATTTGTAGACGAGGAATAATAAGAACTTACTAAACTTGTATTTAGTTATATCTGGTGATAAAACAGAAAATGGAAAATCTTTTCATTCTGTTTCTGTTAAATAAAAAAATAGAACAATTCTATGAGGTTGAATGAAAAATCAAGTAATCATTTCATAGAATTCTTCTGCTTAGTGTGATATAATATCTACAACCACTCCACATATATAGCTATATATTCCCAATGGATGGAGAAGAAAACCTCATCCAGGTGTATGGATTTTCTTTATTATGTGAAAAACAGCACATACAGGAACAATAAGACAACTATAATATAGATCACCAATTTGTGCCAGATGAATGCAAATGCAACAAGTTAGATCCCAATGTTTACTAATAAAACACATGACATTCAGAAGATCAATCTGATCCCAATGCTTGTTAGATTGTGCTCTACATGAGGTTTCCACCCAAAATTTCAAATTAAATTAGCCAGGCTATGCAGCAACCCAGCACTTGAAGTCACAGATTTTTGGAATTTTAGCAACTTCAGCTAGAAATAAGCATGCAGCACCAAGCACACACAAGAATTCAACCATGAAAGAAAATGGTGAATAAAAACAATATATTTTTTCTCATCACAATGTAACAATCTTATTACTATAAAGAGTTTAAAAGATATCCTTTTTATCAATCTTTTCTACATGGGAACAGTACACTATTGCAAAGCGTTGGAGTATATATAGTACCAGAGGGAAGAAATTCCTAATTGCAGAATTATGACAAAAAACATCACAAGGAAAATTGATCCTGAAAATGACAGATTATAACAACATACATGGACCTCCTGAAACTTTTATAAAGTGGTCAATTGTATATATGCCACATGTTAACAAGTACAGGGACCCACTCCACAGACAATTACAACATCACAAATTTTACAGTGACAGTAAATTGTAATCATATCATTAAGGTCATTTATCTAGTTCATGAATATTAACTTAGTCAAATTAACCTCAGCTACTCAAGACTTCAAGCTTCCAAACATTTCCATGACTAGCTTATCACACAAAGAGTATAAAAACAATCCATCCAGCACTCAGGTAGTCATACTCAGTGTATGAGACATGGAATGCACAAATAACCCCAGTGCTCATCAAGCTATTCTACAAATATGAATTAGTACTATAATTATGCATTAGATTCAGAATCTGGGTTTTGTTTGGAGATTTATTTTAGTTTTTTCTTCTTTTTGTTTGTTAGCTTTGATTGGAATTTGATTGATGACTGGTTTAAGGTTCATGCTTGGCGATTAGCTTTGTTAATATACTTCATTTTCCATGTCACGCTGGAGTTCATTAGGTTCCAGAGTTTATAAGGGTTTAGAAGTTTGAATTTAAGTTTGATGGCTGAAGCTTGCATCCTGGAGACTAAACACCTTAAGCCTTAAATGCAATCCAACCAATAAACAAAGAATGAAATTAGATGTGACTGAGTACAGTCACAAGGGCTTGATTGTCACATAGTCACAATGGTTTTGTACAAATATATAAAAATTGTTTGACAGATTATGGAAGCACATTTTGGCCCCAAACTAATTTCTTCTGTTATGCTAGTAGCTAACACAAAAAGAATTTTCTAATGTCAAAAAAATAATAATAATAATTTAGTACCTCAACCAAACTGACCCTAAAATAAACCACCAAAAACCCATGAATGAAAAACTCCAAGCGGATTAGAAACAGAGCAGTACCAACATAATAATCTCACACAATCAAATTAACACTACTTATTACATTGCATATGCGTATTTCAAGATCGATATTGAGCTTCTGTGTGACTGAAAAATGATTCTATATTTGAAAGAAAAAATGAATAGTCAAAGCTAGGGGGAAATACATACTTCTGGTGAATGTGCTCAACTGCCTGCTCGGCAATCTGTTCATGGCAAGTGCCAATATCTTGTATAAGTTCATTGACTGCTTCAATGACATCATGCTTCAGTTTCCGACTTCTTGAACTTTTATCAGCAGCTGTGAAGGAAAACATATATCTATAAGTCATAAGACAATAATCTTTATTAAAAGGTAATAACTTCATTTCCACCACCAAAGCCGAGACTGCTGGGGGAACCAATTTTTAATTAACTAATATCCAAACAAAAAAGTCACATTTATGGTCAGAATATATCAAATGCCTACATTCTCTAAACAAATTTTTGATCAGGTAAAGAGAAAAATGAAAGTGTATTGAAAATTCCCAATGCTCCAAAGAATGAAGATCATACATTTGGTTTTTTCTTCAGAATCACCCCCAGATGAAGAAGTGTGAGGAACAGCTGCTGCATCAGGCATGTCCTCAAGAAGCGTTTGCAAAGATGGTGGACGCAGTGTGCTTCTTGCAGCAGCAGCAACAACAGCAGCAGATAGAACCGGATGGTTGTCGCGCTCACCATCATCTTCATCATCACTAACAGTCGACATGTTCAACCCAGCCATAGCAGCTGTAGTGAGAGAAAGATCCTCCTCCCTAATAATGTGCAGAACACGCCTCACAATATTACCCACAGCCAGCTCTGCGATCATATTTGCAAAACGTCATTATGAATAATCAAACAAATAAGCCTCCAAAGTCCATATAAAAGAAAAACCTTGCAGTATATCTGAAGATAAAAATATATCTCAGATTCTAAATTCAAATGCCCGTATAAAATACATTGACTTTCTGCAACTAGAAGGTACAATTTTTGTTCTTTGGTTGAAAGGAGCTATCATTTCATTTCAGAACACAGGAGTACTAAGTAATGATAAACAAAAATGGTAACATGCTAGAATTACAGTGCATCGAGGTTTTTAAAATTTGGTCAATAGACTGAGCAAACATAAGTTGATAGTTTAACCATGTTTGCAAGTAAATATAAAATTCAGTACAGCTGGCATGTGGTTGAATTTAAAAAATAGTCTAAAATAACAAAATTAAATAAGAAATGCCTCATATACACATAATTATTGTTACACGTGCATAGCAACCTCCCTTGATATCAATCAAAGGAGTACATTTCAAATATCTTCTCCCAAAAAGTCTTCAAGCAGCCGCTAGCTTAAAAGCCTGTTCAATCAACCACTACTAAAATGTCCCCTTAATGTGCTGATAGAATGATCAAGCTATCATCACTACTAATCAGCAGAAAATCCTTCTTTATGCTCTGTTGTACCATGTCACTTCTTTTCTTTAGTAGGGACAGCGTTTTAGCAAGGCTAGGTGATTATATCACAAATTTTATTTATGTTTCTTGGGCTTATGCAGTGGGAGGAGTAAAACCATAATCCTAGCTTCTCAATCCCACACTCACGATGAAGGAGTTCATGTTACTACAAATTGAATGTTATATGATTCTGCCAATATGGAGCCAAAGGGACCCACAATCATGTGATCAAATAACTATCACAAAACAGAACTTTGTTAGATAGAAACAATAAATTTTGTGGTTTGTTTTTATGGAAAATCCACCTTCAGATGAAAAGGGATTCAATACACTGCCCTGTGTCTCTTAAGATATTACTGAGAAAGATTTTCAAGTAACATCAATGACCTTGGCACTAATGACAAAATTTACTCATCAAAATAAATAGTACCGCATCATTGTGATTAACAAACTTTTGTAACTTTTCAATAACCTACCAATAGGATTTGCAGCAATCAGCTGCTCCCCAACAGCTTTAACAGCATCTATCAACGCACCAGCTTGATTTGTGTAGGGTACCCGCTGTGATGAAATCACGGACCGAAGTAATTCCGCCGTCAGCTTTGCTGTGGCCTGTGAGCCCTCAATATTACTACCACCACAAAAAATCCAAAATCAATATATGAATTATGAAATAGGGCTATTAACCACTAAGAGCCCTCAACTTGTACCAGTAGACTCTATGAATTGTGCTGAAGACCTTACCGTTTTTTAAGCTTGATAAGGAAATCATTCACCAGGGAATGCACGTCTGGCATGATTGTCACTGAATTTAACCTGAAAATGTCAAAGATATGACTTGAAATGACCGAGTGCAACCCTTATTTGCAGTTGTCTCAGCTACCAAAGAGAAAAACAAAGCGAACAAGGCTCAATGAAAAGACTTGGAATGCTGAGATTGCCCACATTCACCATTCGACAAGGTTTGGATGACACGGCTGGAACCAGGATTTGAACATGGTCTAAGCTGAATATCTTATCTAATTATGCTTTTTCTTCAGCAAAAGAATTCTCTTGAAAATATCCATTAAAAAAACAAAAACAAAACACCTCCAAAATCAACAGCCAAATCAGATGGGCATTTTGAGAATATAGAGAAACCAAAACAAATTAATCCCAAAAGCAACAAACCAAAGTGAAAATGTAAAACTTCAGGAGCTGAAAATATCAAAACCCACCGAATTTAAAAAGTTAAACCCTCAATTAAACCCCCACTTCAAACCTGAATTAAACCGTAAATTAAAATCTAGATTGAAACCTTAATTGAACCCTAATTACATCCTAAATCAGGAAAACTTAAAAATTAAAAGAAGTTTTTGTAAATATACCTGGGTCAGTGGGTGAGTGAGGCTGTGACTGTCAGGCACAGAGGCCTAGAAGAAGAAGAAGAATAATAATAATAATAATATGGGATCGAAGAAGATGATCCGAACAAGAGGGAGAAGCAGATGGATTTTGGGAATCGGTGATGGAACTCGAAGAATTGAAGAAATGTTAAATGGAGAAGAGTGAACAGAGAAGGCAGAAGGCAGAAGGTGAGAGGGACCAGAGGGTTACGTCATGGAACTTGGATTGGTGGTGGGGCCTACGGGTTTGGGCTGAATGCTGACTATTCATGATGGGCTATACCATCAGTTCAGAGGTTATTGGGCTACATTTTTTCTTAGAGCCGGCATATTTAGAGCGCTATGCAGTATATCGCTATTTTGGTAAAGGTGATGCAGACAAGAGCGTGTGTAGCTGCAGATATAGAATTAGTTAAGTTGGCTACATCAGATATGCTCATTACTCTGCACTTGAGTTTGAATCTCTTTCTTCATAGTTTAGATTAGATTAAAGTAGAATATCGCTTGTATCAAACAAGCGATAAATCGATTATGATTTATCGATGAAATTAATGGATCGGATTTTGATTTGATTCGATCCAAATTCGATGAAATTAATAGGAGATGATCTTGTTACATAATCTGATAAATTGATTATGTTTCGAATCTGCTAATCCGTTAAGTTAATGAAACAAATATGAATTTGGCTTAATCCGATCCAATAATAATATGACACGATTTGATATAATGTTTACTTATTTTTATTTTTATTTTTATTTTACTTATTAATGAGAGGAATTAAAACAAATAGAATAACATGAAAATAAAACAGTTCTTATATAGAAAAACAACAAAGGGATGGAACACAACTGCCTTAGGCATACTTTCCCACAACCCAAGGAAGCGCACACCACCTCTATGTTATATCCCAAAAAAACTAGTCACTAATGAAGCTTCCTGAAATTGCTTCCGAAGCTCATATCAACCTAGTAGTTTACCGATTTGAGACTCACACACCAACCTAAAGTCAAACATGCGCTTTTGCTTTCTAGATATTTCACTATTATTTATGGACAAGATCGTTGTTTTCAAACATGATATTTGGTTTATAATCATAACAATAAAACAACAGTCCTTAGAATATAAAATAGTATGAGGGATATGCAATGAGATTGGATATAAGGAGACATCATACTTCCACATAACTTCCTAAACTTTCCCGGTCATAGGATTATCAATTGGGCATTGATCGTGCACAAAGATTAGTACACACTATATCTACTCGATTGGGAGAATGACTAGACTCAAGTCATTACGTGTAGAGATACTAAGATAAGTGTGTAGGGCGAATGTCTTACTCATATGTCAAACTAAGTCACAAACGGGGCTGTTTAATATGAGAGAGAAATCTAAAAGAAACATCAGCACACAGTCGTCTTCTTCCTTGCGCAATTACGGCTCTGCAACTCCAAAAATTTCAAGGTTTTCCCTACCCTATCTTCTTCCTTTGGAGGCCCTGTGTAGTCGCACAATTCGTATAGGCTATGGGCCTACTGGAGTTCACAACCACCAAATGAACAAAGGTGCAATTTGAAGCAAGTACAATGGTTTTTCGCGCAAGTGAAGGTGCAGCTGCATCTCCTTGCACCTTAATGGGTCCGCCATTATCTGCTGTGTAATGGCCTAAGGATAATGGGTCGTGTGGGAAGTGTTAAAACTGACATGAACTGCAACAGATTTGAGATGGGAGTGAGAAATCAACAGTGAGTTTCCCTTAAATTTCCATTGTGATCTTTGGTTTGACGGTTATCGATTTTTAGCTTTTGTCTTTTCTTATATATTTTTCAATTTTGTTTATTTGCAGCATTTGATTGTTTTGCCCCCTTTATATTGAATTTGTTAAGGTTGACCGTTTTTTCCCTATTATCTTATTTTTATTTTTATTTTTAATTTTTTAATATAAAAAAATGTGAATTTACCATATTATTCTTATTTAATTAATAATTTTAATTCTTAATGTTTAAATTAAAAAAATAATATAGTAAATTCACAATTTTTCATATAAAAAAAGAAAAATCAGAAAATTTATATATATAAAAAACAAAAGACAGAAAATAGTGAAACGTTCAAAATACTGCACGGGAGCGCGGCCGCACTCACTTGGAATTCCACTTCGACTACGACAACTGACCTTTGCCCTTTTGTATTTTCTCGAGAAAGTTCTCTCCCCTAACGCCACGCTCCTCCCTCCCTCTCTCTCTCTCTCTCTCCTCAACGGCTTTAATTTGAAATTCTTTGAGCTCGCACTTCCGCGTCTCTCGTCAATATATTACTGCACTGGGCAATTGCGGCCACCTACCAGACCTCTTTCATTTCTTCTATTTCTTTCTCCTGGTGTCTTTGCTCTCTTCAATGAGTTTTTGATTCAACTGCACCATCTCAAGGTATTGTTTTTATCTTTCTACACCTTTGATTTGTTGGGTTCTTTTTTTCATTTTCTTTATGGGTTTTTTGTATTTTTTGGCCACCCATTTGGAATTTATGTAATTTAAGGTCGAGAAGTTGCTATTTTCTGTGAAATATATTTTGGAATATTCTAGATCTCTTGTAGATTTGACTTTGAATTTCTCTTTGGGTATGCGATCTTAGGGCCGTTCTAGCATTTGGACAGCCCCATCTGCCACTGTTTTTTTTTTCAATCTGCTTGATCAGTTACTTTGTTGAATTAGCTTCATGATTGTGCGATTCTTATCTTTGAATTTCACTAGCTTTTGTCACTTTGTATCAAATTGTTCACTTTGTTGAATTAGCTTCGTGATTGTGCGATTCTTATCTTTCAATTTCACTAGCTTTTGTCACTTTGTATCAAATTGTTCACTTCGGTTTCTCTTAAGGGACTTTTATTGTAGTTTTACTTGTCGAAAAGAAACCATAAGGAACGTTTCATCACAGTCGACCTTAGTACTGATCTGGTAAGGCTTACCATTGTTTATGCAAAGTGCTCCATTCAGGAGAGACGGCTTCTTTGGGAAAAACTTAGTGATTGTGCGATTCTTATTTTTGAATTTCACTAGCTTTTGTCACTTTGTATCAAATTGTTCATTTTATTGAAAACTAAATGTTTCCGGATTTTCTTGAGTTTTGAAAATTTGAGTTTAGATCTGCTTGATCACTAACGTAGTTGAATTCTTGAATATATTCAGAGGTTTTAGGGTTCTTTGATATCTGAGCACTGGGAGGTTGATAATTTATTTAAAATTAACTCCTAAGGGTAATGCATAATTTTAATGGATCGTTTCTCATTCTTGTTTTTAATAATTGGCCAATTCAGCTTTGTCCCCTCTTTGTGTGAAATGCAAATACCGAAAATCGTTTTTTCTTATTTATTTCCAAGAGAAGGGATTTCATAATTTTTATTATTATAGATTGGATTTTATGAAGCACTGTTTGATTATCGATTGATTTCCTTTGGAGTTTGGAAAGAAGGCCAGAAGTTGAAGTAAAACAAATTTTTATGGTAATAAATTAATAATATACTTGGCATTTTAGCTATTTCTGGTTTTTGTTATACAATAGATTTGGTAAGAGAGCTTCCCCTTCTCTAGGTTGGTATCCTTTAGAGCTTGTTTCATGGATTAAACATAGTGTAAAATAAACTCCTAGTCCTTGGAAGTTGGCCCAAATTTGTATCTGGTCTTTATTTTGTTAACTGTTATAATTAAGTTTTCCCCTCCTTCACTCACCAGTTTACCATTGAAGTAAGGGTCTTACTTGTGCCAGAGTCACAACTTTCATTTCAACATATGTTAGTTGACGTAGTTTTTGCTTATTTAGCAAACTTAATTGCTTCTAAGGATGTCAACACTCATCATAATACATACCATATGGCTCTATAGTCAAATGTACATTATTCAAGTGGCATTTGTTCAGTCAGCTTCCCATTTTCATGGGATTAGGCTTTCAAACTACTCCCAATTGAACCTAGCCAATTAAAAGAAACGACTTGGTTAAAATTTGGGCCATATTGTGGGGAACAAAAATGTAGTTTAGGTTAGCCATTAAGTATATATGCAAAGTTGAAATTTAATGATTCTTGTATATTTGCCTATGAGTACCACTGGAGTGTCAAATCTGTAAGGATACGCCCTTCCTTTTCATTCTCTTTGCACGGTGTTTCCTATAGTTCTTGTTTTGTATCACTATTTATCATAACTCATTGTTGCAAGAAATACTTGGAATTGAATTTTGCTTTATATGTTTGGCACAGTGTAAGCAGCAGTCCGGGCTAGCATGGCATCTGGTAGTCCATTTTTTGATGATGTGCGGACCAAATCTGAGGTTATTGATCCTCCTCAAAGTGAAGACATGATGGATGTTGGAGAAGGTGTGAATGATGCTACTCTCATCCCGTTAAAACCTAATGCGACCGTTTCTAGCAGTGTTCGTGAACTTCTGGAGTGCCCTGTGTGCTTAAATGCCATGTACCCCCCTATTCATCAGGTTTGATTAATTTTAACAATTTTGCTTATGTTATGAAATTGGTCAAACCACTCCCTTAGTTGTCAGTCTAGTGTTAATTCTACGCATTCATCAGGTTTGATTAATTTTAACAAGTTTGCTTATCTTATGAAATTGGTCAAACCACTCCTTTAGTTGTCAGTCGAGTGTTAATTCTACTCATTCATTCAAGATATTGTAGTAACTGAATCTAGCATGCTTGTCACTTGTTTCCCTGCGTTTGGTAATAATTCATTTTTCATTCTAGTGTGTGGTTCAGGCTTACTTTCTTAATACAAATTTTTGGGAGGGTTCTCTTTGGAAAGTGGTAGATGAGGTGCTATTATTTGCAGTTTTGGGGAGGGTTCTGTTGTGCCATTATTTGCAGCTTTTCGTGCATTATAAAGTGATCCAGTCTCCCATTTTCTTTGCACAGAAAAACAGTTAGCTATGCTGTTTGGTTGTATTTTTTCAATTCATCTGTCTACTTTTGTTGATGTCAAATTTTATCTGACTATTTGATTAGTTTCATTGTGTAACTCAAATATGGTCTAAGCCCAGAATTAGATGTATATGGGACACTGTTAGGATAGTGGGCTTGTAGGACTAACTTGAGTTTGTGCAATTTCCCCTGAACTAATGTGACATGCTCATTCTATAGGAGCTGTTTGTCAATATTTCGTAAAATGATTTTTCATCTTGTAAAATGAAAAACATATGCATTTAATTGGTCCACTTGAAAAACACAAACATTAGTTTTTGGAATTCTACTCCCAATCTGTATGTTAATTTTGATAACGATATGAGCTAGTTGACGCGACATGACTTATAAAAATACAACCTATTTTTTTTAATTCTCTCTCTCAACTCTCAAACTTTCTCTCAATCCCACTACTCTCTACCCTGCTACCCACAACTGTTTCCTTTCTTCTTACATGTTTTCTATCTCTAGCATAGCCCCACAAGCAACTCTCCTCTCTCACTTTCTCTGATGGAGCTATTGGGACCACAATTGTATTATGTAACAAAGTCTGGTTCATTGTTGATGACAAACCAAACCATATACTCTATCCTCAATTTCACAACGTATTTAGTGAAACTTTTGTGCATTTTTTGCAAGAAAAATGGAGAGTGCAATGATAGGAAAAAGAAGAGCCACTACAGCTGCAGATTTTGTAGCACCTTTGGATTGCAGGAAGACGAGGTCTATCGACTGTGTTATGGCATTCCTATCTTCCTTAATAGAGATGAGTTCAGATCTATAGAACATGGAAGACTCTAGAGATCCTGGTTCTTTAGCCTGAGTTAGGAGTCGTCCCCTTGTTTTGTTTTGAGCTTATGGTTTGTTTGACTTATCTCCATAATTGTGGTTATGCTTTTGCCAGATGTAATTTGTAAATTTGTAAATTTTTTCTTTTCTTTTATTTCTATTAATTACAGTAAATAACGATTTTGGTACCAGATGTGTTTTCATTGTTCTTTTTCTCTAGGACAACTGTTTTCCGATTACACTACCAGACATGTTTTTGGATCCGGAAGATGCAAAATTCAACCTCTCTTTTTTGTTGTGCAAAAATGTTTTAATCTATTTTTTTGGTGCAGACATTACCAGATGGGACGTCATTTTCTCATTTCAACCTTTATTGATGATGTCTGTCATGTTTATAAGTTTGTTTCATTATAAGTAGACTTGTTTAAAAAATTTCAATGTTATAAGTTTCTCATCTGTATAAATTTTTTAGTGATAAAGTACCTAGGAAGTAGATTTATGTATGCAAAAATGCTTAGTGCATGGAAATAATCTTCCAACGCTCTATGGCCTTTTAGGAACTAGCATTAAATTAGCTATCGCAACATGTTGACTGCTATCTCTGGAAAGTAGAATTAGATACTGTCATTTGATAAGAAAATTACCTGTAGGAATATTTTGACTGTCTGTTTTCTTTTTGTTATGTTGATTCCCATGAACAAGAGAATGTCTTCATTGAGAGTGAAATAGTTATGGTTAATTTGCGTATTTTGGTAATTAGTGATATAACAATCAGGTTTAGGCGGTTTTGTTCTTAGAAATACAATTACTCCAGCATGTCACTTCTTTGAGGGCAGTGACTACTTTTTAAAAGAATTGTTTCTGTTGATCTGTAAAAAGCAGGCTGTACAATTATCCTAATAATTTTGTTGAAAATGTGCTATATCTGTGTGTGAGGCACTTTCTGAATCCATTCTGATAAATTGTGCATGCACGTGCACACACACACACAGAGGGCCTAACATATGTAATAAGAATTTCAATGTTCCAAATTAGATGCTAGCTTTTTATTCTGATTTGCATTCTCCCTTTGTGCAGTGTTCAAATGGTCACACGTTATGTTCTGGTTGCAAACCCAAGGTTCACAACCGGTGTCCCACTTGTAGGCATGATCTTGGTAATATAAGATGTCTTGCATTGGAGCAGGTGGCTGCTTCTCTGGAACTTCCATGTAAATATGAGAGTTTTGGTTGCATGGGCATATACCCTTATTACAGCAAGCTAAAACATGAATCTCAATGTCTACATAGACCCTATAACTGCCCCTATGCTGGTTCAGAATGCACTGTTATTGGAGATATTCCTTATCTGGTGGCCCATTTGAAAGATGATCACAAAGTTGACATGCACAATGGCAGCACTTTCAACCATCGCTATGTAAAATCAAATCCCCATGAAGTTGAAAATGCTACCTGGATGCTAACGGTATACTATCACTGTCCTTGTCTCACTAATTTCCTTTATCCTTCTTGGCTTCCCCACTTACAATTAATTTCTCAGCCAACTCAGAACCTTGTAATATTGTTATTCTGTCTCCCTTTGTGCACATTCCAGACATGGATCCTGGCATAAAGCTTTGATGAGTTACACCTACGTTGAAAAGAACAAGGGTAAAGATCTGTATCTTTTCTAATGTGCAGGTTTTCAGTTGCTTTGGCCAGTATTTTTGTCTACATTTTGAAGCTTTCCAGCTTGGGATGGCTCCTGTCTACGTAGCATTCTTGCGGTTCATGGGCGATGATAACGAGGCAAAGAACTACAGCTACAGTCTAGAAGTGGGTGGAAATGGGAGGAAGATGATTTGGCAGGGGGTGCCGCGTAGCATTAGGGATAGTCACCGGAAGGTTCGTGACAGTTTCGATGGTCTCATCATTCAACGTAACATGGCTCTCTTCTTCTCAGGGGGAGACCGGAAGGAGTTGAAGCTTAGGGTGACTGGAAGGATATGGAAGGAACAGTGATAGTAGTCTCTCCCTTAACATCCTTCCTTCAATCTTTTTCTATAGTTTAGTAAGGTTAGTCACTTTTCATTGGCTATAAGTAGTCTCTTCTGCCTATGTATTTTTTGGAATTTAGGAAGCAAACTCTCTTTGCTTCTAGAAGGAACTCTTATTCTAGAAGGAACTCTTATTCTAGAATTAAAATCTCTCTCTGTACTCATGCGTGAAGAGAGAGGGAGGGAAGGGAGTCCATAAATCACCGTAATGTCCAGAGGATGATCACTCGTGACTTAAAATTGTCAAGTACAACGCAAAACTATAACTACAAACTTTACTCTTGCACGTTCGTATCGAATCGAACGCGTGATTGCGTGCATGGATATCCCACTTGTTTCGAAGTTTTGAATGAAGAAGGAAACTGAATACTTGTTTTCGCGAGGATGGAAGTAGCAAACACTGTTGTGGTATATGGAGGCTTTACATGGTCATCTATGCTACTAGCTGTTATTAATTGATTGGATATTACACGTCAATGTAGAAAAAATAAATAAATATGTGTATCCCTAAGCTCCAGTACTTTATGACATGGTGTTTTTAGTTTAGCGATGACATGTCAATGCTCTGCAAAATAGGTGTCTGTGTACAAAAAAAATAACATAGAAGTTACAGACTAGAAAAAGGTATTTTAGAAAAAGATTTGGGAGACTTTGGAAAAACACAAAGGAGAGAGAAATTTGGTAAAAGAAGCCAAAATGGACAAAATTGCCCTTATTTATTTTTGGATTTCCTAAGGAATCCTTTACATTTGTATGTCTTTGATTTGAAAGTTGAAAGGTTTTTCTGTCTTTTTTGAAAAAGCTTTGGCTTTTTCCAAAAGTGAAATTTTTTTTTGGCTAAAACCTAATTTTCCTAAAAGATTTCTAATGCTTTTTTTTCACATGTCAGTTTGGATTGGATATGACATGGCACTTTAGAAAAAATATTCTCTAATGTATTTTTTAATATAAAAATGTTGGCAGTTTCTACTAAAGCATCTCCAACAATCTTTTCAATAACTTTCGAATTCTAAAATAGGTGAGCGACATCACAAAAACCATTTCAACCTCAGTCATCAAAACTGTAACCTCTGTTTCTCTCTTCATGACTAATAAGTTAACTTTGACTTTTCAAACATTTAATTTTACTTTGGAAAAACAAAACATACTTTGAAAATGTTAAAAACAAGCATTTTTTCTTTTCATATAATAAATACATAGACATTTTCACATGTTTTCATATTTTTCTTTCTTTTCCATGGTATTGCATTACTTCATTTGAAGGGGACTGTTGGAGCAAAAATGATTCTAGTAGCAAATAAGGCTTTTCAAATTGCAACATAGATCAACAAACTTCAATTTAAAAAATTTTATTTGCTACTAGTGTTGGAGATGCTCTTAGGTTCTTCTTCATTAAAATAGTTATTTCAAGAAAATAAACTGAGCTCTCGCTCAGGCAAACAGACTTGTGAGATGGTCAAGTGAATTCGACAAGGTGAGTTTTTTTATACATAAAATTAGATGTCGGCTAATTACTTGATATTTTACTATAATAATTTATTCTGAACTAATTAAAAAATTTATTCAACATATCCATAGATAAGGGATGCAAAATATTATCAGATTGAAGGCCGACCTTTTCTTCTTGACCATTGTTGGGCAATTACACAACATGGCGAGAAGTGGAAACTTTTTAATGATTTTCAATCTCCTCCACCTCAAACCCCCGACAGGCCTATTGGAAGCTAAAAGGCTAAAGAGGAAAAAAGAAAGGGTATCATTATGCACGATCTCACAGATCAAGACAATGATATGGCTAAAGTCATGATGTCTTTGAAAGAGATTAAGCAGAGTACAAAAGACATTAGGGTTACGATTATGATGGTGGACACTTCAACAATCAAAACTCCAGCTAGAAGAGCGTGGTTCAAAGAGAAACCAAATAAGATTATGGCGATTATGGCAAAAGAGGCCTCCCATTCTCTAAACTTCGACGATGACGTCTATCAACCTGAATTGCCATCAGATGACTCCAAATAGAAAGGCATGACTCGTTGGAGCAGCATGTCTCTTTTTTCTTTTCCATTACAAGCTTGGGTAGACAAGTTAACTTCAGTAGAATGTGGAAAACATTGTGGCCAAGAGGAAAACTTTTATAGCTCCCATCCCATAATGTAAAACTCAAAGATTTCCAAAAATACATTGATACCAGAAAAATCAGGTCCTCCGGTTTCACAAACACCACACCACACATTCATGTGAATCATAATTAACTCCGTTAATTAGCAATCATGTAAAACATAAGTGAAACAAGGGTGAAAACCCTAATAGAAATCTTAGCTGCTGCTGCATTTAGCCAGATATGCATCCCATCCTTGAAGACGGTATTCGCGGGCTGCCTCAGCAGGGTTTGCAGCCTTTATAATTCCACGCCCCACAATTATGATGTCACTACCTCTATCATAGATTACCTGGAACACAATTTGTCTCAATCACAAGACTAGGACATAAAATCAATAATACTAAAATAGATGAAGGTCCAAATATAGAGCAGAGATGTCATTTCTTGGCATTACAACAATTTCCTGTCTATAATTTCGGTTTCAATTTTTTTTGTTTGGTTAGAATGACACTTCAGGATCTTGGAAATTAAGCATTTATGGTATCCTTCTCCAATTCCTTTAAGGCCCCCCTTTGAGAAGAGTGATCTTTGTGTATAAGAGTAGAATGATTTCGAACAATACAATTAGTATAAACTTACAGATTTTGGAGTGTTATATTGCTGGCCAAGAGCATCACCACCAGTCACCAGTTGCACTCCAGGGGTTGCCTGGATGAAAGCCGGATTTACTGGTGCCCCTGGCCATGATGCTGGATTAACTGAAATGAAGCCAATCACAAAGTCAGAATGCTCTTCGGCAATCTTCACTGCAGCAGCTGTGTAGTCTCCCTTGGCAAGGTTACCGGCTGAGCTCATTTCAGCAAGCAGCAACAGGCCCCTACCACGTGGCAAACCCTAAGAGAAGTAAAAAAGTACTGAAAAGTTAAAAGATGAATTCATATGATCAAAACTTATGCAGAGCAATCAATTCAAAGTTGCAAACCTTCAATTTCAGTCCATCGACTATCCCAGGACCAGAGATTATGTGAGCATTTACTATGTCAGCCCACTCCAATATATGGAATATACCTCTGCAAACATAAGAACCGCGAAACTAAGGAAAGGGCTATGATACTAACAGAAAGAGAAAGGAGAAGGAAAGCTAAGCCTCACCCTTCATACTGCATTGTTACTGTATTACCAATGTCTGCAAACTTGCGATCTTCAAAAATTAAGAAATTATGTTTCTCTGCAATCTTCAATTGGATAAAAGCACGTATCAGCTATAAGTAGCAGTTACTTTCAATTAACCAAAACATACTTGTAGTCCAACAATTAAATATAGTTCCTGGTCAGCAAAAGCAGACTTCAAATATTCAGTGACTTAGTTCAACTAATGATTATTACATTTATGCTTTACCAATATATGCCGTCTGAAATAAAGCCAGTGAAGAAATATCAATGCTTAGAAAATTGTAGGCTTAATAATTTGTTAGTAATTCATTCAGTTAAATAATGCAAAGGGGAAAAATATTGACATAAATGTTACTACTGAAAGATCAAGCCATGTTCTGAGAAGTGCACTTGATACGCATAGTAGGGGGAAAATACACAATCCTTAGAAATACAAGTAGAAGCATGGTATGATTTGACCCCAAAAAAAAAAGAAAAAAAAAAGCATGGTACGCAAATCAATGAATTCCACAATTTATTCAATCAAAAACAATAAAATAAATCTCATCAAGTCAATTGAAAATCCAAATGCGTGCAAGGTTTGTGTGCGTGAGATACATAAAATTGATTGGCTCAAGACAATGAAAACAGCAAACTGGAACGTACTGGAAAGATCTCTGGTAATGAAATGCAAATTTCAATTACATCAAAACTCACTGCAACTTTACAATTTACTCCATCTTCACTTTATAAATTGATATGATATGTGCAATATAGATATCGTGGATATGATTGCAGATATTTCAGAGACTATCACCCAGAAGCAAAACTGTATATCATACGAACCTCAGACTCATGCACAAACAAATTCTACAACATTCTATGGGGTACATCAAGAAATTAGAAAATTCACATAAACCGATAGTCATTAATCATTATGAAATAGAAAGCACAACTCATAAACTTGTAAGCTACAAAACATGAAAAATAAGTTTAGAACTATACCTTGCGAAGTTTAGAGCCAAAATCTGGGGTGAAATCAGGCAATATATCAACATGGGTTTTCAATAAACATATTTCAGGTCCAACCTGCATAAAAATGAATAGAATCAGTCAAATGTAGAATATCTTCAATTCTTCTTTGAATACAGTTCCTCTGCCCAAGTAAACTCATATTTACAAGGCATCTATTTCTAAATATTTTTGGCAAAGGTAGCTGCACTACTAGACTTGAATTTCCAAATTTGGCTACAATCACATACATATGATTTTTTTTAATCGACATATACATATGATTATGTCATTACCAATGCAACTACTTCAGTTGAAGTACAAAAAACAAACCCAGGATTAAACTTCTCTTTTCCTAGGCAAATACATAAAGATTTGCCTCATCCTTAACTAGGCTGTATTTTCTGGCCCACAATAAAAATGGGGTAGGCCACCAGCTTTGTCCAATCCAAACCAGCAGCTTACACATGGTGTAACTTCATACCTCACAGATCCTACTTCAGAGAAATGTGCACGTGTAAACACCACGTGACACCCCAAAAAAGAGCAGTTTAAAACCTCGTTAGGTCAAGAGGTCAACCCTGGTAAACGATCTTGTATACTTATCAACATTTGGCTTTAACTCAATATAGTTAAAATAGGTGTGTGCGCTTTCAAAACTTTCTGGGGAAATCTATAAAAACAAAAGAATCCAAGAAAATCATGCACAGAATAATAACATTTTCAAATTCAGCTTTCAAATCGACTCACCTTCTCAGCAATCTCAAGCAACTCCTTGGCGTTCCCAACATCAGCAGCCAGACTCAAATTGCTCTGCTTCTTCACCATCACCTCAAAAAGCCTCTTCCCAGTCGGATTCTTCGTCAGCTTCGCTCTCTCCTCAAACCCTAAACCCCTAATCTTAACTTTTTCGACATTTTTCGGCAACGCCGGCGCGGTTACCTTCCGGTTCTCCTCCAAAAACCTCAACACAACGCCCTCCACCTCCTCCGCAACCTTCCCCTTCTCCTTCAAAACCCTAACCATCTCGCTCAACCGAAACAGCGAGTGCAATCGAATCCCGTTCTCCTCCAAATTCTCCCTCCCCCCTTGTTCCCGGTCGATCAAAACGACGGCGTCCTGGACCTTCAACCCGGCTGCGCGTAGAGGGGCGGCGGTCTCCAAAACCGACTCGCCGCTGGTAACCAAGTCCTCAATGATGAGGCAGACCTGGTCGGGCTTGAAGACGCCTTCAATGGCCTTGGAGGTGCCGTAGTCCTTGACCTCCTTGCGGCGCATGAGCATGGGGATGTCATGGGAGGTGCTGATGCAGGTAGCGATGGGGAGGGCTGTGTAGGGGACGCCGCAGATGAGGTCATGGCGCGTGGAGGAAGGGACGGTGGAGATTAGGGTTTTGGAGATTTGGAGGAGGAGGGAGGGGTATGATACGATGAGGCGCAGGTCTATGTAGATGGGGGAGGAGATGCCGGATTTGAGTTTGAAGTTGCCGAATTTGACGGCCGAGATTTCGTGGAGCTTTAGGATGAGGGCCTCGGTGGACGGCGACGATGTCATTTTGTGAAGCGGCGGCGGCGGCTTGTGGAGAGAAGACGAGTGTTAGTGGTGTGAGTGGGCACAGTGAAAGAGATACAGTGGCTTTTATTTTACGTACGGAATAAATAAAGTAAAATGTGTAAAAGAAATTAAAACAAAAAGAAAATTTTAAATAAGAGTGCTGTTATTTCTATCTTTGTCCTATTTTCCACTCACCATATAAATTTTAGGGTTAATGACTTAAATGGTCCCCTAACTATCGCTCGATTATCATTTTAGTCCATTAACTAAAATTTTCAATTCAAACGTCCTTAAACTTTTTATATTGTACCAAAATCGTCCTTCCGTGACATATTCCGTCACTTTCAATCACGTGATGGCCACGTGACTGAGTTTTGAAGGGTATATGCAACTTTTTGAGAAGCCCTATCGCTCATCCTCCAATTCCATAAGCTCATCTTCCTCCTCAGCAACTAGGTCTTTGTCCCCACTCTACCCCCAGTCCTCGTCGCTGGAATCATCGTCAGCAACATCATTGCTGCCTTCCTTATCCTCATCATCATCCTCCATAACCACATGCCCATCCACAACGACCTCGTTGGAAGTCGACAAAGGGCCTCGCCTCAAACGTTTCAAGGTCTTGATGGTTTCCTGGACCCATTCGATCTTCTCCTTTCCCAAATCCAACAACTCTTCTTCAGCATCATCGTACTGAACTAAATGTTTACCATTATCCTTACTGAACAACTTCACATAACCTTCATACCAGATATTATCCAACGGCTAGTAAACCCTGATCCTCTTGCCGACAACCTCTTGGCCATGGGATTTCTTAGGCTTGGGCTTGGACTGGAGAGGCGAAGGAGTGGTGTGGCTAGGGCTGGGATCGGGGCTAGGGTTAGGGTTTTGAGTTTGTTTGGATTTGGAAGAAATGGGGGATGGGGAAGAAGTGGTTTTGGAGAAGAATGAAGTGATTTGGTGTTGTTGGTTGATCAAAGGAGAATGGTCGGTGCTACAGTGGCCAATTCGTTTTAGAAGAGGATACTCACCTAAAAATACGGTTTTGTCCCTCGATTTAACAGAATAATACACAGACGTTGACGGAAGGACGATTTTGGTACAATATAAAAAGTTTAAGGACGTTTGAATTGAAAATTTTAGTTGATGGACCAAAATGATAATCGAGCGATAGTTGGGGGACCATTTAGGTCATTAACCCTTAATTTTAAATTGTGGTGAAATTTAAATTGGAGCCTCATATAATTTAATACAAAAATACTATATATATAAAGTAAAAGACAGAGAATGGTGAAATATTCAAAATACCAGAAAATGCCCTTGGTTAATTCAAATATTAAGAATTGAAACTATTAATTAAATGAGGATAATATGGTAAATTCACATTTTTTATATTAAAAAAATTAAAATTAAAAACAAAATCAGATAATAGGTCATACTTTTATAGAACATAACTACCTATGTTATCTTTTCTTAATTCTAAAAATAAAATAAAAAATAAAACCAATTGGCACATGCGTGAGCACGTGCCAAGGGGCTAGTACTATATATAACAAATTTGTCATAACTTAATATTATAAAATAAATTTTTTTTTAATAACTAAAAGCTTTTGTTTTGTTTTATGTTGGGGGAATATATATACTGCTGCTTAGTTAAATGTTTCTCTTTTTAAAAGTACTTTCAGTTTTTATTTATTTATAATCATTTAAAATATGTTGTTATAATGAAAAAAAAACAACCGAACACGAATGGAATGTCTAAATGAGACTAAAACCAAGGCCCCTTCTATTAAGGGGATAAGGGCTAGAAAGCTAACTCCGCCACACACACTTTTGTGCTAATATATATATATATATATATATATATATATAACATAAAGAATTTTTTTTTCGGGGGCCCTATGCAGTGACGCCACTTGCACCACCTTATCATGGAAGTTTGAACCTAAAACCAATAATATGTAAATTAAGGCCTTTTTCATTGAGCTAATCCTCGTAAACTGGAGCCTTACTTATATAGTACATTTTCTATTAATTATGTTACTTGGCTTGTTGATAGTGGGGTGGCGGCTCATCCTCCAAACTCATTCGTTTAGAGCACTTCCACCATGTAGGCTGTGCCAGGGTAGAAGGGGGCCCAAGCCCCAATTTCAGCTTCCAGCGGGCTTCAGCTACTCGCGCAATAATTGGGTCCCATGAAATCGGGCTAGCCCAAAGGCAAAACGAGCCTGTGTTCACCTACCAACAGTAAAAAAATTTGAACTTCCACGCTAACGCCATGCTAGCGTCAGCCCTAATTTCCGCCAATAGCTACAAGCCACGTGGCGCGTTCTGGGTTCTCCGATCATTTTTGTCCTCCAATCCAATGGTTGTTTTTTTTTTCGGCTTAAAAAATCGAAAAAAAATTTAAAATTTTTTAATATAAAAATTACCAAAAAATTCTGGAATTTTTGTTCTATAAATACCTACCAATATTCTTCACTTTCTACACCAAATCCTCATACATTTTTGCTTCTTCTTCTATTATTATTCAATTTCTATACAAAATTTTATTTACTTACAATTTTCATTTTTATTCACCATCTTATGGCATCTTCCATCGAAGCCGAAGGGGCGTGGACAATCATGGAAGATGTTCTGTTATGTGAGTGTTGAGTCCAAGTTGATCATTGTTTGATCACGGGCAATGAGATGAAATTCTCTCATATGTGGAGAAGAATTCTTGCCGAATTTTGTGAAAGATCAGGTTCGGCTCGTACGGAAATGGCATTGGCTAATAGGTGGAAAATTTTGAATAAGCCCCAAAACTCTAGCAGCATCACACTTCTGAACGAAGTATGCATCGTAATTGTAAACATCATGCATGACTTTATTGAACAAATATGGTTGCATTATATATCGCCCTCGAAAATCAACATTAGAGTACACAGAATTTGGGATAAAGTAATCTTTCAAAAGTTTCTTACCTTGAGAATGCATGTGTCTGAACACGTTCGGGGCCATGGTTGACTTGTGAACCACGGTGGCGGCCTTGCCTTGATAGATCGAGTATACCCATTGCCATGACAACTTGTTCAATAGTTTCTTGCTCCTCCATTTTTCTTCATCTCTTCTACACCTTTTTTCTTTAATTTCTCGCTCTTGCCTCTCCAAGCATCTCCTCATGTCTGACATTGAGAGTGAAGTATGAAATCTAAAATATGAGAAATGAAATGATAGAGAAGATATGGCGTGAGATTATGAGTGTATGGGTCTTTTTGTTCCAGCAGCCTGACGAATGGGCTTAGGTTGCCGTAAGAAGAAAACGAACAGAAATTCCCCAAGTATCTGAGTTCAGAAACCAAGCTCCTAAAATAGTTTTTGAAAGGTTTGATGAAACCTTAGAAAAACACCCTCAGGTTCTTTTCACCAATAGCCAAATAAGTATGATAGATTGATTAATGGCTTAGCTTGAGTAGCTTGTGGCATGAGAGCTAAGCTTTCACAAGTTTGGCAATTTGAGAGAGAAAAAAGCATGAATTTCTTACAGAGAACAAGGGTTTCTCTGTAGGCAGAGGAAGATTAGAATAATTTCTACCTTAAGGGAAGAAGAAAACAACTGAAGAAGAAGATTGGGTGGCTTGAGTAAATTTTCAGTTGCTTGACAAAGCTTGGTCAGGCCCTGAATGAGTTGTTTTTCTGGGTAGCAGAAGCCTTCTTTTATAGGCACAAAGAATCCCTAATTTCATCTAACCTTCTTCTCCCTTTTCGTTGCTTCTTCCCACTTGATCCTATTTGATGCAATTTTCCTATCCAAGGTGTATGGGTAAGGAGCCCTTTGTGGTTCCAAGGTTTTGACACAGCTGGTCTTCTCCATAAGGGTGAAGCGCCACCTGCTTTCCCTCTAGTTTTTCAAGATGGAGCTTGCAGTGGAAAAGAAGATGGATAAATGCTTTTGTCTGATGGGTATTCTTCCTACACTCATGGGTTTCCGTTGGTCTCTGTCATGGCTTCCTATTTGACCATCTTGGAGTCCTAACAAGGGTGGAGCACGGTGATAGCTTTTCTACAAGTTGCTGGGTTGGGCTCGTGTGCAATATTGGGCTATCAATACTTTATTTCCAGCACTTAATGGGTTTTCGTCTGTTGAGGCCCAAAAAAGTCCACAGTTGGGCCCAAATAAGTTTTTGGTCAAATATGATACTGTATTAAGAAAAGTTACATATCGGAGTACACGAAGGCTTGTCATATATAAGTCATAGTCCATGTGCCATGCTAAATAAGTAATTTGCCATGCCAAGGGCTGAAATAATATTATAAAATACAAGCCCATGCTAAACTAAGCACCGTGTCCCTCTTCAAGGAATATAAAATTGAAGCGCGCCAAGCGACATGCCACGCCAAGTAAGGAATTATTATTCCGCACCCAACCACGCTACAAGCCTAAGTGGGCCTAAGCCACTCAAATGCTCGAGGCTTGCTTGAGTGGGTTGTGGTATCGATGGTAATAAATTGTCATGAGGCCTATTGATGGACCAAGAAGTGGAGGTTCCGGGTTGCTTGGGAGCCTCGGAACCCAAGCCCATTTCTTAGGCTCAAACATATGGGTGAGCACAAAAAGGGGAAAATAGTCCAACCAAAATAACCCAACCAAAAGCCCAGTCAAAATGGCCCACTAAAACTAACCCAAATAGCCCAATATTTGATAGGGGTGGCCCATTTGTTTAAGGGGTTGATTTCCTATCCTAGAAAATAGAGGTAGCAAACAACTAAAAAACCCCATCTATTGGCTGAAGGATAAAGCCATAAAGAAGCCATGGAGGATCACGTTGGTTGACGGGAAGGAAGAAACAAGTTTCAAAGCAAAAGAAACATGCAAGAACCCAAAGGAATATTAGCATGTAAGCTGCTAGGAAGAGAAGCACCATTCAGACCAAGCATGTGCATCTGTTAATGGAGTCCCCTACTGCGCAGCTGCGGGAAAGGAGAGCCTTGAGCTCCCAAAACCCCTGATTTTGTGCAAAGGAACAGAGAAGATTTCACCAAAAAAGGATGATTGAAGGGATGAGGGGAGAAAGGAAGGGAAAAACTTGGCAAAATAGGATGGAAAACATTAGGGTTTCTTGGGAAAAGATGGCTTCTAGCGGCTATAAATAGGGCCTCTTCTACCCAACAAAAATCATCCACAACTAGAAAGCAAGCTTCCTCTCATACTTGCAAAAACCAGCAATTTCGTGCACTGTTCATCTTCCTCCATTTTCTTCTTCTAACAAGCTGCCAGAAGAACATAGTTCTTCCATTTTCTCTTCCTAGCCACACATGCTTGAAAACCTCTTCTTCCTCACCTTAAACATTCCCATTTCTCCCTAGGAAGCCATATTTCCTTTTTGATGCTCAACTCATGCTAATTTTGCTCCCATGCCACAAGCCCCTCATGCCAAGCTCAAAAGTTTATCTGTAAGCATGCAAAAATTACCTGTAAGTTTCCATTGTTTTGGCTGGTGAAGGTAACCAAAGTACTTCCTAAGGCTATACTGCCCTTTTGAAGTATTTTTGGGGCTTAATTTTCGAACTCAGACACAGGGGATATTTGCTTTAGTTTGCTTCTTACGGCGGCTCAGCCCATTTGTAGCTGCCAGAAGAAAAAGACCCCTACATCGTCAAGCTGCTGGGACTAGCCTATTTAATTTTGGGCATTTTATTGATGCTGGCTTTGTCTAAGTGCTATGGCAGACTATTAGATATCCTCCTAAGGCATTGGATCATTTTCTCCCTTCTCTCATGCTAACCCATGTGTTTGGGCTCAAGAAATGGGCTTGAGTTTTGGGGCTCCCAAGCAGCCCAAAACTTCCATTTCTTGGCTCATCAATGGGCCCCATGAAAGCTCGTTACCATCCACACCACAAGCCACTCAAGCAAGCCCCGGACATTTGCATGGCTTGGGCCCACTTAAGCTTATAGCGTGGCAATGTGTGAAATAATGATTTCCTGCTTGGCATGGCATGTCAATTGGTGTGCTTGAATTTTATAGTCTTTGAAAAGAGACATAATGCTTGACAAAATAATTAGCATGAGCTTGTAGAGCCAATGCATTTTATAGGCTCATTTTAATTCTTAACGTGATAAATTGCATATTTATTTGGCATGACACGTGGTTGTGGCTCGTGAAAGCATGCATGACGAATTTTGCATGCTCCGAATTGGGTCTTTTCTTAATAAGGTGTTGCATTGGGCCAAGAATTTATTTGGGCCCAATCTTGGATTTTTTTGGGCCTCAACAATGAGTTGAGCCCCTGGTTTTATAAAAAGATTTAGAAGATAAAGATGACACGTGGCGCGATTTTAGAGGGTGAAAATCTTATCTGAAATCTGAGAATTGTATTTTATAATAAATATCAACACATGGCACCTTGGAATCTTATCTGAAATTTCAGATTTGTCTTTTTTTATAATAAATATCGACATGTGGCAACCAAGAATCTTATCCGAAAATTTTGTCCAAAAAATTCATTTGAATTATGAGATATGAATTTTATAATAAATATTGACATGTGGGAACCGAAAATCTTATCCAAATTAATTGTTTAGGGAAAAAAAAAACTAAAAGTGAATAGTATTTGCCCTTTGCCATGACAATGGGCGGAAACACACATTGGTGGATCCACATAGGCGCAACTCCCCTCGCTGAACGCTTCCTTAGGGATGCCGGAATTTGCCCCTTTGCTAGTGACCACCAATTGTTCGACTAGATGTCTCAAAGACGTTGTTTTGTTTGCTACTAAGTGAGACCCTGAATATTTGCCTTAGATTGTTGGGCTCGATCTCATGAGCATGTAGGAGAAAACGGTTCATCAATCGGAGCTCCACAACCAAAGTTATGAATTTTCTAAGTTTTTATAGAATATGTGAAGTTAAGTTGTAGAGCCACAGGTCGAGGAATAAGAAGACTCCGCATCAGCGCTTCTCATTTTTATTTTTTTTTAAATGGTCCAATAGCAAGCTGACATATGTCTAATTCTAATTGGCCTAACTTAAAAAATTCATTAAAAACTCATATGTGTTCCGAAAAATTCATCGAAAATTACCCCGAACTTTTAATCACATGTACTTTTATCTCGTGACCTCCAAATCACATGTGATTTTGGTTAGATTAATTGGCATTGATTTTGGTTAGATTAATTGGTATTGACTTTTGTTAGATTAATTATGTAATTGACTTGGATTTTGTTCATATTTGATATGAATTTTGGTAAACTAATTGTGTCATTGACAAGGATTTTGTTCATATTAATTGATATTCCATATAGACTATAATCAATTAGTTATAGATGTAAAACTCTTATTGTTTTAATTATGAATGACATTAGTTTTGTTTAAATTCTAAGGGCATTTGGTTGTCTAAATTATTTTTTGAATTTTTAGCCTTTTTTTTTTATAACACACTACACGGATGTTAGTACTCGAACCCAGGACCTTGCTTGAGTCCTTTGCGAATTTTTAGCCTTTCAAATATTGCACATTCCCTAAAAAAATTCATGGATCCGCCACTGGAAACACACATTGCCTTTTGCAAGGGCTGCCAATATTCACATGAATAGTAACAGCCCTTGCCTTACCAGTGCTCTTAGAAAATTGTGAAAGTTAAGGGCTTGTTTGGTCTTCAACTTGAATCCAATTTTTTAAACTCCAAAACAGAATTTGAGTCCAAAACAAAGAAAACCTGTTTAGTTGCCCTATTTTTAAAAATTCAAACTCAAGAAGAACTAAAAAAAAACACCTCAATTATTAAAAACAAAAAATATCTGTTTTATTTATTTATTTTTATAACAACCCACAAGTTCTCAAAATTTTAAGATTTGAAAACAATTTTCAAATTGCATGCCAAACAAGTTTTTGAATCTTAAAAATAGATTTAAAAACTCCTTATTTTTAAGAAAAATTAAAGTTTTTAAGTTCCCTATTTAAATATGATACCAAACGCCCCTTATCTCAAGTTAAAAACTTCAATTTTGTTGGGTCTTTCTATATTGGATTTGTCTTAGCAAAATTTTTTAGCTTTTTGTCACTTGTTTATGCATTGCTTTTTTACTGAATAAGAAAATGTGTTTTGTTTGATTTACTTGTTTCACACTTTTGAATCAATGTGACTCCTCTTTAAATTGATAGGACATGTGCGGATTGTATGGGTTTAATGGAAACCTAAGTAAAAAAAACAACAGACAATGAGCTATAATACATATATATTTTAAGATCGCATGACGACCAACCAACCTTTGGCATAGTTGTTTTGTCTCTATTTCATTGGATAATGTCTTAATTTCGACTTACACTGATGACGATGACGATATATATTTGTAATGAGTAATTCGTTTGGTTTTATTCATTACTCGAGATATATAGCGTCTTTGATCTATTACTTGAGATATTTACCATTTTGTAAGGTCATTGAGGAAGTTCGTCAAGTATTTATTATGAGGCTAATTTTGCAACAGGTGTGACTAAAATGAATATTATCTTGATCAACCTACTTTCTAGTCTTACAATTGTCCTCCTAATGTTGTTTGCTCAGTTAATTTTTGATGTTTAGGTCTTGGGTGTCCTATGGCTTTTAGGTTTAGTTTTTGCGGAGTAAAACAAAATCAATCTGTAAATCACTGTTGCACTCTAATCACTCTTCCTCATAAAAAAAAAAAACAAAAAAAAAAAAAAAAAAAAAAAAAAAAAAAAAACTGATTTTATCACCTTAGCACTTTTTAACAAAAATTAAAAAAAAAAAAAAAAAAAACCAGTCTCTGTTTTTATTCTTTTTTCTTTTTGGTAAATAATGCCAAACTCTGTTTTATTTGTTTTCCATGCCACTCTGTTTGGAAGCTCTTTTTCTTTTATGGCAGTTTAGATCTAGAGGGTCCGTTCTATTAACAAAAAAGCAAGGGGGGAAAAAAACAAAAAAACTGTATCTTTAAAATGTTATTAAATACAAAATTTAAAAGAGAAAAAAGAATTAAGAAAAATTTGACAAAAGCCATATGCACATTGTTCTCATCATTCTCTCCCCGGATCTGTGTTTTGTTTTTTACCAAAATTCCATAAAGATAAAATAATATTATTTTGATTCGTGGTCACCCACCAATTTTTTTTTTTCGTTTTCCCCTTTGTTTTCCAAACCAATATCCAGTTTTTGAGGTTCAATCTGTGTGCATTTTTTGTCAACGTTTGTTTCTCAATCCGTAAGGACCCCGTCTGGTTAGCTTATTTGTCTAATAATTTATAAATTTAAAATCTCCCAAATTGTTTGACTTGGCTCCTTTTTGTTTGAACCCTTTCTTGTTCGGATAAAGACCATCAAGTTTTATCGTATATTTCAATTTGTAATAACCCATTTGAAGTCTTTGTTTTATCTGTCTTGGGTTTTCCGATATAAATGTTGTTTACAGTTTAATTTTTTTTGAATTTTTGTTGATTGAATCCATTGGATGCAGAGAAATTGCTGATAAAATGGCTGTTCTCAGATTGTAGCCCCCTTTCATGATTTGGGTCTGAATCATTGGAGGATGGAGATGTCTACCCAGCGAGATAATTCTGGTCCCAACAAAGTTTCAGGTATAAATGTATTTTGGAATGATTTTCAATATATGAGAAGATGTATCCTGCAACTTCATTTAGACCTCTGACATTACATGATGAGTAATAATGTAAAGTGATAAATTTTCCATGTGAAAGTATGATTCTTGGAATGAAAAAATGCTTTTGGTCAACATTTTATATTGGAACTTTCAAGTGCAAATACGATTTCATTTCTCAGCATCATGATGCTTCTCCATGCTTGCCAACCATGTACTTTCTTGATATTAAACATATTTTCCTACAGTACGAAACTTGATGAAGTGATTGCAGTGTGTTGTACAATTGAATTTATATTAGCAGTTCGTTAGTTAATTGAACGTGTTGCATTTGTAGGATCAAGTTCTTGCCTATATGATCTCTTATGTTCAGACGCACCGACTTGGAGATGCCCAAGTGACCGACGAACACAATCTGGTACGCTATAGCCTTTATATCAATTACTTGTTTTAAATCTGTTGTGTTCTGACTTGCCAAGCTTTTCTGTTTTCTGGATATGTTAGCATAGTTAGCGACACATACAATTTACTCAAGTTAGGTTTCTTAAGGGTGCAGTACACCGTTTGAAATAGATAGGACTCATATACAAGCAATTATTTATAAACATACAGTATGAGTTGTTCCAAGGAACATTTCAAATCAGGCTGGTTGATGCAGTTAATTAAAAGTACGAAATGATATATAGATAGCTCAGGGATGATCCAATTTATTCATGTCTCAACTTTACCTTCGTGGAGACCAAACGAAAGACCATGTGAACGGAAAAAAGAAGAAAAGATAGTATGTGCAAAGAATGTATGAGACTCATATAGAAGGTTTACTGCATCGATAGTTTAAGTGGGAATATGAGAGATGCATTCAGCCTCTGAAAAACTTGAGTGTTATAAATACCTCAAAATCATGTACCAGTTGAATTAATACATCCTGAAAATTGAGTTCTGCACCACCAAGCTCTCTAGTCCATCTAATATACAAATGTTTTTATTTTTATTTTTCTATGTTTGTTATGTCTTTGTTTGTTGTGGATCTCCCTGTGACATTCTCAATAAGGGCATATTGTATCTTTTGTAACTCTTATAGCTCATTGAACAGGTCCACAAGAAAGGCTAGAGATTTTGTTGCATCAATCTGCCAATAGGTCCTGTGCAGATTGTGGATCTCTAGATCCAAAATGGGTGTAAGTATCATATTTGCATGGAGAGAAAATCTTATCATCGATCCTGCTTTTTACAATAACTACTGAAGCAAACTTAATATGAAGTTATTTTGAACAAATAAAAGTTGTTTTAGTATCTCACCTGGTCATGTCTTTTCCTGTTCACCATCAGTTATGTTGCTAATTTTATCTTTTTTCTTCATATTGAGTTGGATTTTGAGTTATGTAAATATCAGAATATGTTCTCATAAAAACAAACTCTACTTAAGTGCAGCTTTGTTTGCATGAACTCAAACATGAATTTAACTAGTTACCATATTCCAAAGCTCCTCTGCAACCAAATTCCAGTTTTCTACTTTCTTTGAAGCAGTTGGAGTCTTTTGAGCCGAGAAATTATTAGTATCTTCGCAATGTTCTCATATCACATGCTCAATAAATAATCAACATATGAGCAAATGCATGTCTGCTTTTGAAAGTTCCTGAAAGCTTCCAAAGTGATAACTAGTGATTATCTTTTAATTCATCTTTCTCCTCTGTTAGTTATTATCTTTTTACTGAGCTCAATGACTATGATATCTTTCTAGTGCTGCAGTCTTTTTTTACAACATTAATGTATGCATGCATGCTTATTTTTGTATGCAACAACAGTTCTGAAATTTTCTAAATGAAATAACCTCATGTTTAAAATGTCTGCATCAACTACTTCTTCCTAGATGTGTGCAAGTCATGATTATCTTTGTTTCTTGCATTTTATTTTGACTGTAGCTATTGGTTTATATCAGATCTTTAAGCTTTGGAGTATTTATTTGTATAAAGTGTTCTGGTGTACATAGAAGCCTGGGAGTGCATATATCAAAGGTATGGCTCTGATCTATGCTTCTCAATAATAACAGATTTGCAACCTTGTTTTGGCTTTATCTAAACATTGTATTGCGTGAAAATTTGACTATTGGAGAAATAAATGTTTTGTAAACATAAAAGAGTGACCCTGCTCATTTAGTTCCTGGATGTACAAGCCTCATCCCAACTGCATGGGTTGTCCCTTTGATGTGATCACTTGTGGTATGGGTCTGTGGGGTTAATTTGGTCGAAGCAGGTTGGTCCCTGCTATGAACTTTGCTGCAAAAGCAGTTAGTGGATGGGGAAACCTACCTTAATGATAAAAGAATTTCTTAAGTATATTCCTTGCATGTTCTCAGCCTTTTTAAAATGCTTCTTTTGGAATATCATTGGTTACTTAACTACTTTGACCTCTTTCTCTCTCTCTCTCTCTCTCTCTCTGGGATATTCTGATCTGATCTGATCTGAAAATATGCTAGGTTGTATCAGTGAAGCTAGATGAATGGACAGATGAAGAAGTTGATATCTTGGCGAGTATGGGAGGAAACGTTGCTGTAAATAAGAAGTATGAAGCTTGCTTGCCAGAAAATGTCAAAAAACCAAAACCAGATTCTTCTATAGAGGAGCGCTTTTATTTTATTAGGTAATGCTAAGTACAAAACTTTTCATAGTGCTGTATTCAAATCTGTACCATTCTAAATCAAAAATTTAAACCCTACTTCTTGAATTCTCAGGAGAAAATATGAGCTGTTAGACTTTTTAAACCCCAATGAACATATGTCCTGTCCTTTTCCGCCTTCTCATAAGAAGTCACCTTCTAGCAATTCAACCAATAATTCTGCCCAAGATAAGAAACAGTATGAAAAACAACCAACGAAACATCGTATTGGGCAGGCATTTCGTAACAGCTGGGGAAGAAAAGACTCTGAACATAAGACTCTGAAGAAGGGCAACTCAATGCCAATGGTAATGGCCTTTCTATTTAATCAGTGTTTTGTTTCATCATGTTATTTCTAAATTGCTTTGATACCCTCACTCTCTTTGGAGTGAGGTGCTTATGTGCTACTATAACATCCACATTGTTTCTGAAAAAACGTGTCAAGTTACATTTCTCTTTTTCTTTAATTACATCTACAAAAGGCTTAGTCATGCAGAACTTTTAAATGTTTGTATGACTTTGGCATATGTGAGGTTTTCCTTATCTTTCCTTATAGTTTGATGATTTTCAAGCTCCAAATTTGCACTGACTTGTCCTAAATATAGTGTATGCGTTCATGTTGAACTTTGATACGTGCCATGCATATATAAAAGAAACTTTTAAAAGGACAGGTATGCTTCAGATATTCCTCTGATAAAGAATATTATTATATTTGTTGAAATTTTTTGTTACTACAAAATAATTGTAAATTGGAGCTTTGATTACTCAAACACATATGCGTTCACAATCACCTGCACATGCACATATACTCATAGATTATTTCCCCATCAAAATGAAGGTACGGCATAATTGTAGCACATGAGTTAGATACGCATATATGCATGTGCAAAATCCATGCATGGCTTTAGTCTTCACTTCATGGTCCTAGTCATGATCAATTTCTATGCTTCCACATTGTTGTGAAGGGAAATAAGGAATTGATTTGACAAAAAGGAAAATATTCTTCTTTAAATTTGAACCAGAACTTTTAATTGATGACAAACAAAAACAAGGAAAGTATTAAGACTAATTAGAATTTCTTGTATAGATTTTAAATTTTTTTTGATATGGCTAGTATCTTACTGCTCCAAGTGTACATTATAGGCAGGTATGGTTGAATTTGTTGGATTAGTTAAGGTGAATGTTGTTAGAGGAACCAACCTAGTTGTACGGGATGTGATGACAAGCGACCCCTACGTCATCCTGGCATTGGGTCACCAAGTAAGTCTCTTCTACTCAAGCTGTTATGGATGAGATGAATTCAACTTTTTCATAAACTCATAATGCAATGTTCCTTGAATATTTGTTACAGTCAGTGAAGACACGTGTTATAAAAAACAACTTAAATCCAGTATGGAATGAGAGCCTGATGCTGTCAATTCCTGAACACATTCCTCCTCTAAAAGTGGTAAGTTATACTCTGAAAATAGTTTCTCTGTTTTTCACTTGATTTATCATTAATAATATAGACAGTAGTGTTGTATCACAAGAATTCCCTTGCTATTGATTATGATGTTTAAGTGCTTTGCATCTTGCTTTTCAATAAAATTTCTGAAGTTATTATTTGGATGGTTACATTCAGCTGGTGTATGACAAAGATACATTCACAACTGATGATTTTATGGGTGAGGCTGAAATTGACATTCAACCTCTGGTGAGTGCTGCCATAGCCTATGAGAAGTCCACGATCAATGAGCCGGTGCAGCTTGGAAAGTGGGTAGCCAGCAAAGAAAATACACTGGTAAAAGACGGTGTCATCAACCTAGTAGATGGGAAAGTAAGACAGCAAATCACTCTCAGGCTGCAGAATGTTGAGAGGGGTGTACTGGAGATTGAGCTTGAATGTGTTCCTCTTAATCAATAGCTGGAATAGAAAGTTAAGGAAATGAAACTCGGTGGCCATTATGATTCTGAGGTTGCAACTCACCATGATAGATGTATGTTATATTGTAGAAGTCATTGTATTGATAGCTGTGTCAAGCGAGTCTTGGCTGTATATTACTGTAGTTTTTTTTTCTTTTCCGTTTTATGTGTAGATAAGAAGTTTAGGAAAATTTCAAAACATTAATTTTTAACTTGGATTTGATTTTTCTTTTCTTTTCTTTTCAATAAAATTTCAAAACGTTGTTCAGTTTGGGGAAATTGGAAATTTATCAATCGACATTTACTTGACTTAAAGTTAGTAAATCGAGGTTGGGGATTCAGTCATTGCTTTGGCATTTGGTAATTCTCTCTTAAAAAGTAAGTATTCTGAATACAAGCCGACTACTTCAGGTTGAACCGTAGTGGATGTAGCGTAATATACTTTGTCTTCATTTTTACTCTCAGTCGACCGGTAGAAGTTCCTCCCTCTAAGAACCGATCGGCATGCTGCCCTGCTCATCTGCAAGTATGCTCTTTAAATGTGCATAATCGGTTTTAGTGATTGAATTTGCTTATATTTTTGGTTAACTCTTGAATTTGGGGCGCCCAAAACTCGAGATTTTAGACCTAAAATCTAAAACCGAGAATTTGGGACTGGCTTAAAACCCAGACAAGGAGTAAGGGAAGAACATAATGCAAAGCAGAAGAAAAGAAAACCAGTGCTGACCATGATTAGATAAACTAACCAATATTGTATCAACGTACTTGAAATGAAGAACTTTCAGCAACTTTAAATCAATATCGTATCCAAAATAGTGAAGACTCGAACCATGAGAAGAATACAAGTGGTTCCAACAACACCCTTTTTTGTGTCCCAAATGTTTGTTAGGGAAAGAAAGGATTGAAATGTTGACATGAGGTACCCTGATTATATTCACGATCTCCTTTTTCACAATGGTTTTGTTATGCGGGATTAGGTGTTACGTCCCCCATGCATGCTTGCAATTGATTGATTAATAAAGTTTTTTTCCTTCGTACTGTCAAGTTCTCATTTACAATATTCCTGTCATAATAATAAATTTTTTTTTGGTTACATTGGGAGGAGAGAAACCCCTTGGGGTTTCGAACCTTAGTGTCAAGCAGGGGGAAGGGGGAAGCCACCACTGTGGTACCTGCTCTCGACTGTCATAATAATAATTTCAAGAACGGCATCTCTAGGCATATCCCAGGTATTACCCTGCTTCTAAAGTTCAACTTCTAAATTTTTCGTTTCGCACAATCAACTTCAAGTCACAGAAAAGAAATTTTAGCCTCACAATTAGGCTCACCGTATAACAAATTAGGACTCAGAAGGTACATTGATGAAAGTAATTAGATAAGCAATACCAGAGAATTATGCTCATCTACTTCTCTTTAGAAACAGAAGTCTGTAACTTTTTATTCTTTTCTTTTTCCTTTTGGGAAATGACTGTTCTCCCACGTATACACTCTCCCTTCAATTGTGAAAGGTTACCAGATGAGCCATTGGGATTTAAAGAAAAAGAAAACTTTCTTCACTTGGATGATCACAATCGGATTTTCCAGAAACAGTACCAAATAAGGCTATATTTATTTCAACAAATAAACTAGTTTAACAAATGTGTGAGAAACAATCAAAAGCTTGGTTTTATTTCCAACAATGGAGCCCTATGTGAACTTGTGATTAAGCTTCTACGCTGCTACAAGAATTGGACTTCTAACGCTATGAGTACCATCCGTCCAGACCAGCGACGCAGATACATGTGATCCTTCTGGTATGCCTCTTCCAACCACGGTCACATCGAAGGTCTTCTCCTCATTCAAGGACTTGAAGGAAAGAACATCAGGCACAACTTTGATGTCAACTTCGGAACTTGAGAGGATATTTGCCTTGAAAGTGGAGTTTGGAAGGCCAACATTTTTAACTGTTCTATGAAAATTGATCGTAAATGAAGTGCTTGAATTAACATTGGCTGCCAGTGAAGGGTAATTGAGATCCTTTGGCGATACTTTGGAGGACCCTGCAGGGCAAGAGCTGCTATCTCCGGATATAAGTCTAACGCTCTCCTCATCCAAGACCGAGCAGAGAAACTTAATGTAATCCTCTTTAGAAGCTTCAAACACAAGGCCGGGGTTAATAGCCTTTAGAGGATTGATATGTCCAGATCCATAAGCAAATTCAGCAGGGGAAGTTTTGGTATCATTCACGGGCCAAGCAGTAGTCATGATGGATGATTTGATGGCTGCTGGAGACCAGTCAGGGTGGAATGTCTTAATATATGCAGCTACACCAGCAACATGCGGGCAAGACATGGAGGTTCCAGATAGTATACTGTATTTTACACGCCTTTCGTCTTCAGTGCCACCTGTGACAGGAGCAAGAGTCGAATACGCAGCCAAAATATCTATACCTGGGGCACTTATATCGGGCTTAATAATTTCAGGTACAATTTGATTAGGTCCGCGTGAAGAGAAGGAAGCAACAACAGGTGCACCATCATCTTTTATGGCTTCACTTTTTAGTATGTTGGCTCGAGGACGTTTGGTGGATTTGAGGTAGGACTTGACCACATCATAGTCTTGGCTGCCTAAACCAGATGCAGGTAGTGGGACAATAAAAGCAACATCAGGCTTGGAAGTTTTCAAAATTGAACCTAGTGCACCAGCTTGATGAGCCACAGTATTGCCACCAGCCTGATCACAGAGCACAATCTTTCCCTTAACTAAATCGGCGTCTAGGCAACCAGCTACACATTGCCTTGCATCGGAGTCAACGCATTGACTTGAAGCATCTTTTCCATATATCAACGGAAAACTTGTTCCATTTAACTCGAAAGAGTTAACTGAACTCCCAACAATTGTCTTTCCATTTCCAAGAACAATCTTGTCAATGATTCGACGATCTGTGCTACTCGCTGCAACCGTGAGCGTCCATGGTGCCACACTTGATACGCTGCCCGCTTCGGGACCACTGTTGCCTGCAGATTGTAAGGTCAGTATCCCTTTCTCCATTGCATGAAAAGCTCCGATTGCTATAGGATCCTGCTGGAAAGGAGCTGAACTTTCGGCTCCAATTGAAATTGTAATGATGTCAACTCCATCGGCAATAGCATCATCAAAACCTTGCAATATCGCCTCCGTAGGGCAACCTGAAACACTGCAGACTTTATATGCAGCAATTCTCGCCGAGGGAACTCCACCTCTTGCTGTACCTTGTGCTAGTCCATAGAAGCTCACATCCTTTACGGGGTTTCCTGCAGCGGTTGAGGCAGTGTGAGTTCCATGACCAACAGCATCACTTGCGCCAGCATCAGTGTAATACCGAGCTCCAATGATCTTGTTGTTGCAAGTGAAATTTTGGCCACCTTTACAAATACCTTTCCACTTCTTGGGAGCTGGACCAAAACCTTCATCATTAAAGCTCTCTGAGTCAGGCGAGATTCCACTGTCAATCACACCAATAATAGTATTACTCTCGGCAGTAGCATTTCGTTTGGCTGTCTGATTGAGACCAAGAAAGTCCCAAGATCTTGTTGTTTGAAGTTGGAATATTCTGCTTGGAAAGACAGAGACAACTTCCTTCATGCCAGCAAGCCTTTCTCTTTCTTGCTCAGTGAGCTTGGCAGCAAATCCATTGAAGCTCCTTTTGTAGCTTGTGAGCAAGAAATTTGAAGCAGAAGTTTTCTGTACGACTCTTTCTAGTATACCAATTTGGTTAGACAATGGGGAGAACACTTCATTATGAGGAAGTGACCCCAGGTACACAATATATGTCTTTCTATCTTCCGAATCAATGGCTTTGCATGATAAGCTCGTTGCGAAAACGAGAATGGAGAAAGCATAAGAAAACAGGAGAGCTCCATGCTTAGCCATTGTTCAATGCTACAAACAGTGCAGGTCAAGAGTACTTTATAGTGAGATGGACACAAAAACCGCGTCTCCATTAAAAATCCTGATTTTATTTCCTCTCTCTCATCTCCATTAAACATCCTGATTTTTTTCCTTTAATAGTGAATTCATGGAATTGAGTTTATTCGTTGGTAAACTTTCCAAGTGGAGATAAGCTAATGTAAATCCCATATATGTTAACAACGATCCAATGCATTGACCCGCATTTCATGATCCTGAGTCTCTCTGCATTTAGCCATAGTGCATTTACCCGCATTTCAGAGGAAGAATGAAGAGAACGATAGGCAAGATGGGAGATGGAAATGAAGAGATTTTTTTTTTTCCCTGTCAAAGGTACTTGACATCGTCGGTCAAATAAAAAAGGAAACAAACTTATTGTAGCTGATGTGGCATACTCACAAGCATTGGATCAATTGAATGGTCCAAATTTTATGAAATACGGGTAAGTGCACTATGGCTAAATATAGAGACTCGGGACCCATGTTAACATATCTGGATTTGACTCTCTTGAAATACGTTACAGGCAAATTAATTTCTTTCCATGTAGGATGAAAAAAAATTCAAAACAGTCAAAATATTCAGATTCTATGTAATAAAAAAGAATGCACAGATAGACGTCAACTAACTATCACCAAGAAGAAGGTCAGGTTCAAACAACTGGTGCTTTGTTGTGAAGATCCTTTTATTATTCTTTGCAAAAATCCATAATTTAATTAGTATATCATCCCTTCTTCCATGTAATTATTTTCACTATTAATTCGAAATATTCAAAATGACAATATTTCGTCTAGGATCCCGACCCTTTGCATTTAGGTTCCCTGCATTTACTCTCATTTCATTAAATCTAAGCCACTCAAATACCTAAAATAAGGATGATCATAGAAAATTTTGAAATAGTCTTACCCTTTCAATTGTTTAATTTCATCGAAATGATATAACGCGATTTTATGAAAAGGTTACTTTTTGGGGTTATTTTTGTTCGTATCTAAAATCTATACCGAAATCAAATATATAAAATTTAATAAATTTGTGAGGTTACACAATTGGTAAACATATATGTGGATCAGAATTCTC